AGAAATCCTGCGTCTAGCTGGACCATCGGATTTCATCGGAAGCAGGATGTGTTCCTGGAGCGTGAGTTCGCCGACCTCATTTTGTCTCCGATTCCGTCCGTAGACCCAAAACATCTCCGTCCGGCTTTTAGCGCCTCGGTAGCTCAAGAAGGCACTTCACGCACGGAGAAAATATATAGGCATGTTCGATCGAAAAACGTCGATAGAGGCAGCCATAGGGATTTGTGGCAGAATGCCCGAACTTCAGAGCTCTACTGATGATACAAGGGAGAGGACTTAGCTGTCATTAAGCGAAATGGAATACACAGACGGGAATTCATGATGTGAAGCAGGTACCCGAACCGAGACGGCTCCACAGGAGAACGTCCCCGATATATTCCTGGGAAAGCCCATAGGGATCTCGAAGCCCTATCCTGTCTGACCTCAGACCCCCATTGCCTCGGTCAGCAGAAATATTCCCCCTCCAAATGTAGCGCCGCCGTGCTTCATGTTGCAGACGTTTCGCGGAACTCGCGTAGGTATACCCACACGCTCACCCCGGTGTGCTTGTCTCCGAGACTCCCTCGTAAACAAGACGACCAGGTAACCATGTTCAGTGCGTCATCTATCTCAATAGTTACGGAGTGACATCGGCGCGCTTGCACCTGTTCCTTCCGTTTGTGCTTTGAGCGCGAGCCGATATTCCGACAAAACTAGTGTCGGATGGATGCGATAAAGCTCCACTTTGGACATTTAGCCAAATATCCGAGATCCGAACCCAATTTTTGATGGATTTCTATCCGAGTCGATCGTTTGGGAGGGCCGACTCGGCACGGATTCTGTCAAATTGTCAGGGGGAAGAGTCTATCCAATAATCCACGGCATCCCCGAGAGAAATGAGAGGAGCTCTTTGTGTTTCTTCGAAAGAGAGCTCCGATTGAGACATCGCTCCGCTCCACGCGCGAAAGAAAGCATTCCGGGAATACGTCGCAGCCGCTCTAAAAATCATCCGATGAAGTCAAGAAAAAAGAGATTTACAGTCTGCTCGAATAGAGAGGCCAGTGTTCAAAGTGGGAGGTCCGAGACCTCCCACGAAAGACACCTGTCACTGTGGAGGTGTGAGAACAACCTCAAAAACGACAGCAGCGACAACTCGCTCGTTTATTAACATTGGCAAAGATGCTGGCCATGACTAAAAGCCGAGTCGGGGAATGCTCTGCAAAGGCTTCGGGGCTCTCGAAGAAATTTATGACTCCGAGTGGCGAGGGAAGACAAGGAGAAAGTTGTTCTCTGACACGTCGTTTCGAATGCTCGGAGGCTGAGTGAATGTTGGAGACCATCGAATGTTTCTTCGGACACTGGAACAACCCAAATACGAGAAATCCTGTGTCATCACTCTGAAAACACGAGATAGCTGTCCCGCGAAGTCCATCAAGCGGACCGGAGCCTCGAGACTTCCATGAAGACTCCCGTGCACGATTGCGGACGCTCTCATATAACGATAAAGTTCATTAGGCGTTCGCCTACGTGGGGGTTCGGACACCGTTTGTGATCCTTGATTTGGGAAGCGAGACCTTAGGCTACGGCTCCCACGGGAAAAACACGCCGCGGCGGGGATGCACTTCTGGCTCTTAAATTCTTGCCTTCGGGCCGAGGCTCCTAGAAGCTTCCGGGAACTTCGTGAACCTTCTCTCGCCCGTATGTAGGCATGTCATGATATTTTCGATCATAATTAGGTAGCTTGCATGAGTAAGAGCTGAACTGCCGTCTCTAAGCGCTCGGGAAGCATTTTCTCCAGAGGATCCCGATCATTCGGGAAAAAGGATCGATTGTTTAGAGATGGGGTTCTGTTCGACCGTGGAGAAAAATTTTCGCCATCCACTCGAAACAGTCAGATCTTTTGTCATACTGAGTTATCTGATTAGAGATTCGCTCTCGATGTGACTTCTGAGGCCCTGGCTCGTCAAAGTCAAGGGGGTAGCCCCCTCGAACGAACTGTCCTGTCGGAGGGCGAGCTCGATCAGCCTAAAAAAGGGGCGCCTTATTGCCGCCGCCGACATCGACTGGGACCTTTTGAGCTTAATTTTTTTATGGCGGCAGAAATCGGCAATCGAGCATTCGGAGACCACGAGACCCTTCTGGGTAAAGACGAGACCTAACGATGCTCCTCCGGGTCCACAAGGTTTGCGACACGTCATTCGGTCCCTCGATACATACCGCTGCTCTCGTTGAGATTTTCGGAAGCCCCAACAAGTACTAATTACGGTGTCTTAGCCAATTCGCGACCCTTCCGTGAGCATCAAGTGAAACGCAGCAGCCCGAGACCGAAGGTTCGTGGAGCTCATTTGCTTCGGATGAATATTGACCCACTGATTCCGCTTGTAGTCGTGGGCGAGAATATGACGAGGCGAGAATAACACTTCTGTGAGGTCCTCATTGAGGTGGGTTCACGAAAGCTCGGCTATGTTTTGCCGGAGCTCAAGACGATCTTCTCATGGACATCGTTAGTTCCAATGATCGACATTCTACACATCCCTGATGAACAACTAAGATCCCTTCCGGTTGTGGGTGCATGGCGCGGCGCCTGCCGAGCGTCGCTACGTCTACCACGAACTGGAAGGAGTCTCTCTCCAGCTTCTGGAGAATACTCACGCAACCTCCATTATGAGTTCCGTCCCATTCCGCCGTCGGCCGGTAGACTTATTGATTAGAGCTCCGTTGATCGAGTGAATGAGTCTCGAGGAGCCCGCGCATCGGTGCCTGCGATGGGTCTCGAATCCGTCCCCTGTTGCGGACGACCAATGCTTGCGTTTCCGGTTCCTGTTATTCCCACCTTGCCTGTCGCTGTGACGAACTCGTTCAGACTGTTCTGCAAAGTCGCCGGAGTCGCCTGTCGATCAAACTCGAGCGAGATCGGCCGCGAATATTGTAGTCCAGTCGCTCGAGCGTGCGGCCGACCGACCTTGTGCAGACTGGAGCCACCCACCGGGCGTTCGATATAAATCCGGCACGCTTGTGCTCCTATCTAATTTACTTAGACAATGTTTTCGAAGTTCGGACTCAAGCTGAGTCTGTTGAAGAAGGAGAGACGCTGCCGCCATCGCCCTTAGACTCTACGGACCTCACACGGCTTCCCGCGAACGGAGCCGATTCGACTTCATTTGAACATCGCACCGCAGAGGTCCGTCAACCTCGTTCTGATTCCAGAGATACAGGCTGGTACCCTGAAGCGATACAGGAGCCTCGAGATTGTAGATCGATAGTCTCAGTCGCCATTGTTTATTTTGATATTTCCCCATGAGTCAGTCGAGGAGGGCCACAACGACGCCGACGACATCGACTCCGACACCGACCACCCTCGACAGAATATGCCCCGAGGTTTATCGTTCTAGAGACATGTCCGAGAGCCATAACGGCACGGAACGTCTCTCGATTATGCCGTTCCCGATGAAACGATTCAAAAAATTCCGAATCGACAAATTCTGCCGAGCTCTCCTATTGACCAATCTGAACTACGGCATCGAGTGAACTCCAGGTTGAATTCACGCAACTTCGAGGATATTCTCCTCTCCCGCGAGGTTCGGTCAGTTATCCTGGGCGCCTGAAGGAAACGATTCTTCAGTTACGGTACTTGCCTACTCCGTGAGGGTTCATTTAGTTGCGCTGATTCGGGATATCGATCTCCGATAAGATTTTCCCTTCCCAAGACATTCCCCCCTGAGAGCTTCTTTCCCCCTATGCCTTGAGTCGGATAGAAGCAAGACATTTGAGCACGCCGCCGGAGAGATATTTGGGTGTGATTGAGCCAGAGGGCAGCACTTGTTCAAAAGAGACATCTTGACAAAGGTCTGACCCGTGGCTGCCGATGCCGTGAAACGATGCCGATATATCTATGAATGGTATTAGTTCTTTGAAGTATTATCGAGAAACGTAGACATCCATCCGAAGCATCAGCTCCTGCCCCCAAAAATCGGAAATCCGTTCCTGGAGCGCGACATAGATACGCTGCGCATACGGTGAGCAGTGTCCATTGGCAGGCATCTGGTCCTCGGATATTGTACGCCATGCATTCCACGGAGGCTAAACGGAGCTACGGGATTCGGTCCGATAGGAAACCCCCTGCGCCTAACCGGCTCAACAGGGGGAAAATTCCCCAGAGATGGGATATATCGAGAATCGGCGAATCCGCGATGTGTGAACTACGTCAGATGGATTATCCGAAAGCCCCTTCTACGACCAGCTTCAGGTCTGGTAGAGCCATCGGGCAGGGGAAAAGTGATTCCCAGTCAATTACACAGATTTCGGATCGAGCCCGGAGGATTGTCCGGTGCCGAAAGCGCTTCGACGCGTGCATAGATGAATTATTTCAGCGGCCGCAGCTACAGGCCGGCTGCCTCGTTAGTCGGGGAGGCGACTTCCATCGCTACTGCCGTCGTTGCCGGCGTTGTCGATGCTGTCCCATGTATCAATGTTCGTCCCCGGACCCAGGATCCCGGACCCAAGTTCAGACGAACGGCCAACCAAATTTCTTCCCTGGTGGTCGATGAAGACCGCCAACATTTCAAATCGTCGTCAACGTCGTAAATGGGCGGAGTCTCCACGAGAGGAACAGCGCCATCTATGAGTACATAGAGTAAGCGAGCACCATGTTCCCTCACCAGTTTCTACGAGCCGCTAGAGCGTTAGGACGTCGCTCACGGGCACCTAACAGCACCGTAAGAACCATTTCGAACAGACACACTCCATCGACTTGTTGTGATAAGTCGCTTGCGGCATTAATGGTGCGGTTCACCATTTCGCTGAGTCTTCTCCTCGCACTCAACCATTGTCAGCGTGCACAGTCAGAGTGAGCACGAATCGGAGTCTGCTCGAGTGTTGTCGAGCTGTGTGTTGGAGTAAGGCATCGAACGGAATCTCACGATGTCATGTGCGGGTTAAATTGAATCTTGACTAGAGGAGTGATCGTGTGATATGAGTGATTTCGCTTACGGATTATGTGCTTCGTGCGGCGGGCTGCGAAGATGAGCTCCACGAGCAACGATACACTGTCAAAACTTATCACCCGGCACACTGTCGACGGTGTCGAGTTTGATCTCCTGCATAGGACCAGCTGGGCCGATGCGTACACAGCTTACAGATGCATAAAGAAGGTACGAAGAGAACAAGAGCTCCATTCCACAGCTCCATATCGGCTCCTATCATTTTGGGGGGAGGGGGGATTCAGAACTTACCCGAGCCCTCACTGACAGCGAGAGTTGTGGCGATGGCGAAGTCTCGAGGCTCGCCCCGATGTGCGTAGCTGTCATTTAGTGTACTCCGCAGCGGAATCCGCTTCTAAACCCTCTCGGTTCGGATACAATCATTTTCTACGGCAAGGAGAAACCTTCGAACCGTGCTGTATGGACGCATTGGTCTGAACACCGAGCTTCAGTTCCATTTGGTGACTTACTTAGTTTATTCATGCTGATCGAGTAACACCGGTCAAACGGAAAATTAAAAAATACGCCGCGCAAGTCTCTCCGGAATGAGATCGCAGAGATCGGGCAACGCTGGTCCTCCGCGAATGCCGGAAACCGCGGTACCCCGAGAATTCGGGTAAATAATCATCATCCCCACGTGACTTGCGCGTAGAGCTTCACGTTCTCCAATCCAGCCTCTATCGTCTGAAGATTGCGTTCTGCATCCGAGTAGAGCCATCTTCTGACTGGAGATGGCTCGCGATTGAACTCGCCGAAGCATTATAAAGTTTATTTTGTTTGTGCAAAGTCGGCGTTCCTCAAGCATGGGGGTTCCAACAGGCATCGATGTGACGGCGGCTCGCCAGACGGACAGACGGTGAAATGAAAGTACTTTCGGATGAGCTGAGGTTAGTTCTGAAGTCGTTGATGACTTCGAGCGCGCCGCCTTTCGGTCTGTCTCGCGGTGGAGCTCGTTCACCGCAATCGGGAGGACGGAAGTTTACTGCCTTGTGGATCGTGTTCTCTATTGGACGCCGATCGGTCTTTCGATCGGCAGATCCTTGGCAGGAAGACAGGCAGGCTAGCAGGTTGGCCGTCGAGTTGTTTTACGATTGCTTATCCAAATTTCTCCGAAAACCATAATCACTGCTGTTCTCTCGGCTATAAAGTCTCCACATGGGGAAGTTTCCACATGGTTTCCCGAAACAAAGAAAACTCGCTCCGTTCGGCCCGTTGCTCACTGAGTGAACCACCCACTCGCGCATGAGGCCCCTGGAAAAAAATATCGGAAAAAAACAGACGCTCCTCCCCACACGCCCGGGGCAGATTTCTTTTTTTTCTTCTCCCTATTTTCGGTCCAGCCATCGACCGAGAGCGGCTCCGATGCGCCAGAAAAATCGAGTGCACTCGTTGGGAGTGCGATCATGATCGATGTCCCGCCAGTGCAATGGACCGCATGGGTCCTCGTCCACCGTGACGCTTCGAGTGCAGAATTGGCGGAATGGATCGGCGAACCCACTCACCCCGAAGGTGTGTGAGGAACTCTAGACCTTCCATATTTCTGTCTTGTCTCTGTCCCCGATCGATGGCGGAGAACAGGCGCTCGCTGAACTCGTTATCTCGATGCGGAATCCGTATCGCCGGCAGTCGACGGAGATCCTGTCGTGCCCAGTATGACATTCACACACGAATATTTCCGATGCCAGCGCCTCGATTCCAGTTTCGTTATCAGCACGAGGACCCTGGTCACTCTCGGCTGTCAGCCTCTTGCGCAACCGTTAGGGATGCACTTGCGGTTCCGTTCGTTCGGAATGTCATGGCGACAGACCCGAATGCCGGTCATTGTTGGATGCGAGGCTGTTTAAAGCGGCTCTAATGAAGTCATACTCTGGCCAGCGGCGGCGGCGGCGCACCGAGCTCTCGACGGTGCTGTTCATTCGATTCCCGAGGTCTCGTAGCGGGCGGACGATCGCGCGCGAATTTCAGCCGGTGACTTCGGCAGGAGAGTGGCGCGAGTGAGTTAATACCGAAAACGACGACGGGGCATCCGCGCAAGTGTAGTTCATGGAGGAGAAGAAAAAGGAATGGATGATTGTGGTGGAGTCGCCGTTGTCGACGACGGCGGTGGCAGCAGCAACAACAACAGCAGCAGCAGCAAGTACGGCCTCTGCGTCTTCTACTTCGACTCCGAGTTGGGTGGCCGCTCGGTTGCTCCGTCCATCCGTTCGTCTGTCGCTTGCTCGATCGCTCAGAGTGAACCTAGCAGCCAGTCGATCGAGCGACCGACCGGCCGGCCGGCGAACGAGCCGGCGAGCACCGTTCCCAGAAGGGGCATTCATTCTCTTCTTTTGGCCGAGACAACCCCCGGTCGAAATAGAGGCATCACGGTGTGAAGTGGCCCGACTTCACGCCGCGACAAGACCGCAATAGCATTTGGTCGTCCATGTCTTTTTTCATCCATTTGTATTTGAGAGTGGTCCACTATGTACGTCGACGAGCGACAACGACGACGAGCCTGTGTGTCCGTCTTTGTTTATTCCATATGTTGTCTAGCGGAGTGAATTCTTCGAATATCTTTTCTTCCAGCTTCATTTGCTCGGTTCACTACTTTCGAATTCGCTCGCTCGCTCTCTATCTGCCCGCTGTTCTCGGTGACAGTGTGTGTTCTTGAGGTTCCGCTAAGGGAAGGGAACGAGCCGAGCTTCGATATAAACATAAGAGTACGACAGGCGCGGGTATTAGATTGTCACGAAACGAGATTTCGATCGGCAGCTCGCCCGTCGGGCTTTATGATTAAGTTTGCAGCGCGGCGAAAGCAGAACGCCGGCATGCGGTACTAAAAACCAAGAGATGCTATCTTCCGACTCCGCTGAAGCGACCGTAAGCGGAGTCATGTAGATATGTATGAGGACGGACGACGAGGCCTTAAGAATCCCTGGCCAGTGATCTAACTGCGGCGGCAGCAGCTATCTCACTGGCATGCTTGTGAGCTACGGCGTTGGCGGCGGCGGCAACAACGGCAGCCACAACAGACGCATCTACAACAACTAGTGAGGGAACGGGTGCTCAAGCGCGGCACGCAACTTTGGATGAAGACATCAACTCTCTGTCAGTGAAGCAGGCCAGTCAAGCAGTCTGGCGCCTCCTTCGGCTCGCCACAGAGCGCCGAAGTCCGCTGAGCAACGAAAGCCAACGACGATATGACGTGACAAACATCGAAATCTCGAAGGGTGATAGGGTCTCTTTTGTTGACACTTCCCGCTCCGAACAGCCTACATGCGGAAAATTGGCGACTCGTCGAAATTGTTCCACATCGTGATTCAGAGAATTCGACTCGATCTATCGCATCGGAGCATCTTATGGCGAACTTTCTCACCCAAGGGGGCAGAGGAATGAGATGTTTTCCCCCTCAAATCAAACAGTCGAGAATTCCATCAGGTTTTCTGACTCTGCTTGGAAAAATTCTAGAGGACCTACCAAAGAGCTCGGGTCTTTTTCTGACAATTTCTTCCCTCTTGCAGGAAAAAGCCACTGGAAACCAGGCTTCCCTCTGGGTTCGGAGTCAGCTACAGAGTCATCTTTACGACATAGGCAGTGCCATACAGAGGAATGCGGGGAAAATTCTCTTCGTCGGACTTCTCGTTTTGGCGGCATTCTGCATAGGACTGAAATCTGTCCACATCGAAAATGATCTCGAGAAGCTTTGGGTCGAAGGTATGTATAGTCTCTGGTTAGCGGCCCGGCTGGCTCGCCTGTTAATTTCGGAATGTCGTTCACGCGGATGTCTCCCCATCTTCCACCGACGCTGGTTTCGAGAGGAGCGATGAAGTGTCAGACGGACCGTGATGTTTATTTCCTGGTTCGAGATGGACTATCTCGAATGCCGCCATCCTCGAGAGACAAAGTTCCGCGTTCCGGAGGTCGTCGGATTCCCATGTCGATGTCAGCTTTATTTACACTGTATGCTCCCATGGATTCCCTTTGAGCTCCCGGGACCCTTCATCGAAGCGATTCCTCCGGGACCCGAACCGATTCCAGAAGGGATTCGGTGCATCATCGAGGGAACCTGTTTGTCGCCATTTCTGGACTGAAACAAATCCTTGCCTTGTAACGACTAGCGCGGGGAGCCTCGACCACTCTTCATTGCGATGTTGACGTTGTGTGAGGCCGTCGAAATTCATCAATTTTGATGGATGCTCGACTCGTTCACCTGATTGGATCTCAGAGCCAGACGAAATGTTCGACAGTTACGGGAAGGCAATCTGTTTGTTGTAGTAAAACTCGAACAGACTGAGCAGTTACTCGGAAACGAGAAGATTTTCTCAAGAGCAGTCTGAGGCTCGATCACTTCTCGATGGCTCACTTGATGGGTCTACGCGTGCATCTCCCGTTGAAGTGAAGGCCGATCTTGCTTGCTCAAGTGTTCGGTTATACTTGAGCTCTTTTACGGTTCGGCTTTCCTGGAAACTTCGGCGATGTTCCCGAGTCTATTTCTTTGCTTGGACTCGCAGCTCGAATTTCATTCGCATCCCGCTCGGCAGCAGCAACGAGCTCGGGAAGACGTTCTGAAAATACCTCGAGAGACATCGGTACCAATCCAAACTGTTAATAGAGACATCTGGCAGATGTGATGACGGTGGGTGCTGAGAGTAATTTGGTCTTCCTGCGTGCCGTCTGTGATCAGGGACCGTCAGGCGGTCGGTCGGCCGATCGGCCTGTTCGTCTGTCGATCTGTCTGTCTAGGCGTCCATGTTGACGCATGAAAACACGATGCTGGGATGGGTGTTCGCCATCTGCTTTGGCGACTCGCATCGCATCATTGGTAGGCAGAGTTGGCCAACCCCCGGAACAAGACTCGTAGTGTGGACCTCTCGTATGCTGTCCCAAGTCAGCCTACGTCGCTCGTCCGCCCGCCTCCCTGCCTGATACGCTCATTGTGAAAACGCAATGGAGCTCGAGCTCCGTTCAAGCTCGAGTCGATATCATGGAACTCGATGCGCGATGATTTTAATTTCCATCTGCCATCCGCTACACCTCGGGTCGGACCATGACATCATGAGTTCGGTGAGACCTAGACGCAATGAATTTACGACTCGGTCGCTGTACGAATCGTCCGCGTGGGGCGTAACGTCGAGCCGTGATGCCGTGATTCCGTCCGCTTGGGTTTAAAACTCAATCTCTGAAAGGTTTCGCGGCTCATCTCCCGATGGTTTTGACTTTTTGATCGTCCTTCCTCCGGCTTCTCCTGACTGTTTCACTCAGGTTTCTACTCAGTCGTCAGCGCTAATCTCGTTAGTTGGAGGCGCCGCCAGAACGTCTCGGCTGTAGTGGAACTTTTCGCAGTAGCCCAGATAAGAAGGCATTGGCTTCGTTGTCATAATCATCGGACAGGTGACGCAAATGAGGACGACGATCTCGATCATGAGGGAGACGATATTCCGCCGCGAAAAGAAGAAGCAGCGCAAAGCCTCACTGGGTTCAAGCTCTCGCTGAATGCGGAATCGGGACTCAGTGCAACCTCTTTGCATAAGTCGTCGCCGGCACTACAAAGGTGTCAATCGTATTCGCTCACAATGCAGGCAACTCCGAAAAGTTCGTTCAATCCTCCGCTTGTTCTGTCCGGGAGGAATGCGGGCGCAACCTGCTGCTGCGGCTGCCCTTGCAAAATTCGGCTCGAGCCCGCTAGTGATGAGGCTGCGACAACAGGCCGCGGTTGCGAACCGGTGTCGGATCCGCGGCCGTCGATGCAGTTCTGACCGCTCTGAAGTGATTTTCGCTCACCTACTTCCATAACGTCGTTTCGGATGTTTTCAGCAGGTTATCGATCCTCGTAGACACGGCATTCCCCGAGTTTAATTGCCCGATCAAGCCTGAGGTTTCCCCGGGGCGCATGGTCCGAGCCGCGGCACAAAAGCTCGGTCGTTGGATCAGTGGATCGAAGAGCACCCAAGCTGACCGAGCGCTTGCTTGCACGCAGGTTGGCTTGGCGGGCGCACTCTTCCTCGTTCGTATGCTTTCTCTGACCATATCGTTTTCTGTGTGTTCCTCGGAGTATTATTCGCGGTCGGTATCGGATAGAGCATCAAGGATCAGTCAGAGAGAAGAAGAATGACGAGCATTGTCATCTGAGACCAGGGAGAGTTTTCGTAGATCATGAGTTCGTTAGCGCAGTAGGGTCAATTTCGGGCGAAACGGTTCTTGCATATCTTCTTGTTTACCTGTCTACCCCCGATCTATGACAGAACGACGAGGGGATGGCTTTCTATCGATCCGAAGTCTGTCGAGCTCTTCTGTAACTTGAGTCAACAATGACGCTCGAGGGTGCTCATCTTTGTCGACCGTAATATGCTCGGTGAAATTCCGAATGCTTCCGCGAGGTCCCTCCCCTCGAGATACTCGAGCAAGGAGCTTTCCCTTTCTATCGAGGATACGGCGCGGTGACGAGCTCGCGAGATGAAGACATCAAGCGATACATCTCAACGTCGTCGGTCGTGCAGCGGGACTTGATTGCGCCGTCGCGCACCGAAATCACCTCTCCAGAGCTGGCGATCTGAAAGCAATCGTAATCAAGAGGTAAGAGAACCGGTTTGCGAAGGGTGCCGCCGCGGACGCTCGGAACCCATCTTCTGTGAATCAACAGAAACGACGGACGGGCGAAATGATTCCACGTTTGGGCGCCGTCGTCGCCGCTGCTGTGGCCCTATCACGACGGACACCGTAGGGGTTAGGCGGCAGTCGGCGGCAGTCTGAAGGCGGTCCCTCACGAGGGCGAGAGGCCCACACAAGGAATCGATGAAGACATCTTCCTCGCCTGCCATCCAGCATGCGAGCGAACGAGCGAGTGAGCGAGCAAGCAAGCGGATTGAGGCACCACCATGACCAAGCGAGTCATGGGTGAACAAGCGGTGAGGCATCTCGGCTGTCCCTTTTCGTTCCCCCTCCTGCTGAGGGAGACATCGTTGCCGTTAAACAAAAAAACGAACCACTGTCATGCCAACAGAAAATCGTCGCTTTCAAGGAGTCCTATCCGCGAACAATGAACGCGTTTTTCAATTTTCTCTGCCGACCGCTCAGCCGCAGAACTCGAGCCAGCGATGCGAAACTCGCGCGTTAATCGAACCCGTGGAATGGCCGCGAAATGTTCCCGTGGATCGGGATAAGATCGTGGGAGCTCGTGTTCTCGTGATTTCTCTCCTTGAATATTCGTGTTTGGGCTCTTGACCCCAGACTTCGTTTCGGATTCGGAGTTTATCACGAATGAACCTCCGAGGCCGGGACCCGAGTCGCAACCAAGTCATTCGTTCATGAGTTCCGATCCAGGGATCCGATCGCGGGGAATATCGTTCGGCGATCGCTCATTGCTCGTTCCTGACGTTCTCGTATCGTTCTCCCCGGTTGACGGTAGAACGTTCGAACACCGATTCCGTAGTCGGGAAGTAGATCACGTACAAGAGGTTCGACGGTCGCCGGACTGAATAATCTCTGCGAACGACAACTCTGCCGGTGGTCCCGGTATAGTTTTTTTCTCTTCTTCGTCTTCTTCTCCTGGGGCGGGGGCAGTTCTACTTCGGGGGCTCCGAGATTACGGAGGCACCACGCCTGTCTGAACTACAGTCTGCATCTATTGAGATATATGCGCTAATAGCAACAAGAAACTGCCGACAGCAGATTAGTAGAACAGAAAGTCGAGTCCGCCGGACTTGATGTGTGCGGCCGCTCCGGCGGCGGCGACTTCATTATCTTTCGGTCTCATTTATTTATTCTTTCTCTTTCAGAGGGAGGCCGCGTTACCCGAGAATTGGACTACATCCGAGCCAAACTCGACGCCTCGCCGGCGACGTTCTCGGATCAAATCCTTATCCAGACGCCAGTCGCGGGAGCGAGTCAGAACATCTTGCGAGCAGACAATCTTCTATCTCACGCTCGCATGCTCGAGCTCGCACTGCAGATCGAAGTTGAGCTTTACGACTAGTGAGTATTTCGGAGCAGCGACGCCCTAGTCCGGCGTGGAGTTCGTCGGGAGCCGGGGAAAATTCGGGGAAAAACGGTCGATTGGTTTTTTTTCTCTTTTCTTCAATTTCCTCGTTCTCCATTGCAGCGCGTGGAGTCTAGAGGATATCTGCGTGAAACCCAGCGTGCCGCCCACGGGACTGTACTACGTCGACGACAGGCTCGAGAAGTTGATGCCCTGCATAATAATGACGCCTCTCGACTGTTTCTGGGAGGGGTCGAAACTCTTGAATCGAAGAAACGTTCCGTACGCCGTTCTCGGCAACGATACCCAGTACCTTCGGTGGACGTACCTGAACCCCGTCCAGCAGCTGATCGACGCGCAGAGTCAATTCAATGGCACCGAATTTCCGTATGATCTCATGCAGAAGTACATTTCACGTGCTGGTATCGGCACGGCTTACATGGAGCGACCCTGTCTGGATCCCAGCGACCCGAACTGTCCGAAAACGGCGCCGAACGCCAAGTCGAAAACCCCACCGTCGACGTCACACATCGGCGCAGCCCTCACGGGAGGCTGCTATGGCATCGCTTCGAATTACATGCACTGGCACGAGGATCTCATTTTGGGTGGAATTCAGAAAAATCGCTCGGGGGTTATCGTCAAGGCCGAGGCCCTGCAGAGTATCGTGCGGATCATGGAAGACAAAGAGGTCTACGCGCATCACGCCGATAGCCACAGCCAAGTGAACTCCGATTGGACTGTGGAACGCGCTCGCGAGGTGATCAACGCGTGGCAGAAGAAATTCACCGAACAGGTGATGAAGAAAGCGCAGGAGGGCGAGAAGAAACAGCAGTACAACGTGTTCACGTTCAACGCCCTGAAGCACATCGTTAGCTCGTTCAGTAAACCGAACATCAGCGGATTGATCATCGGTGCCGTTATCGTCGCCGTATACGTGTGCTCAGTTCTGGTGAATTTTCAAAAGCCCGAACTATCTCAAGCGTTCGTTGGCTTCATCGGTGTCGTGGTCGTTGCCCTGAGCCTCACTTCGGGATTCGGCTTTTGCGCCCTGATCGGACTGACGTTCAACGTCATCTCGACGCAAGTTCTGCCGTTCCTGGCGCTGAGCCTTGGAACCAGAGGCATTTTCCAGCTGACACACACCCTCAACAAGATAGTATCCAGCGGAGCCGTTCCTCTAGAGGTGAGTGAGTGACGGACGGACGTGAGTGAATGAATGGAGAAGCGAGCGAGCGAGCATGCGTGTTCTTGGCTAAAACCAAATCGATCTGTTCTGTCAGCATGTGATTGCCATACGTCGCCGGCTCGCTCGGAACACTAGATGGAGACGACGATGAAAGCTTTCAATGAGTTCTGTGCGCGAGTCGAGTTTAGTGAAGCGGCAACGGATGGTCCGGAAGGAAATCAACAGAACGCTGTCAGCCGATGAAAGCTCGAATGGATCTGGCTTTCTTCCGAGGCCTCTTGCGAACAACTGTATCCAGCTTTCCGCCAAGTCTGGAGAGCGGTCGGTCTCTTGTGGCTCGACTGACTCGACTTGACTTCCTCGCTGGTGAGCGACGGCTCGCTGTTGGCCAAAGGAAACCCGCATTGGGTGACACCTCCGAGATGGCGACAGCTTGATAAACGATCCCTGAATCACGAGGTCCTGAAATTACTTCCATTTTTAGACCTTCGCTTGTGACGGCTCTCGCTGTGCCCAAACGCCCGATCTAGTCCGCCGGGCTGTTTTGTGCCTCTGGGACGCTCAATTTCCAGCGCTATGGTTCAGCCCCTCGGCAATTTCAGCCAGGTCCCGGATTGGCTATCGTCTGAACCTCCGACGGACGACGGCGGCGGCGAGGCGACTGCGAGCATCACTTACGAGCCAGCCAGCCATACGGGAGTTCTGAATTCCGCAGATAATGGCGACGTTTAGGTTTTATTCCTGGTATTCATAAGCGATGGAAGCGATCGGTCTCATTTAGCCGCCGAGAGGACTCGCGCACTGAGCGGGGCATCCGCTGTGACATCCAATCAAAGTCGCAGAAAATGATCGCCTGGATCACTCTGTCAATGCCGGCTATTCCATCGTTGTCTCCCGATTTTTCCCTGACGACGTGGTTCCGCGGATTTCGCGGCGATTCATGCGAGTGCATTCCTCAAGGAATATCTAGGCGGAAAGTAACGACGAGTCGTTTTCTCTTCGATTCCAGGAACAAACCGGCGAATGTCTGAAGCGTACGGGAGTGAACATCGTCTTGTCGAACACCGCCACGATTCTGGCCTTCTTCGCTGCCTCCCTGATCCCCATCCCAGCCCTGAGGGTGTTCTCGCTCCAGGCGGCGATCCTTCTGACTTTCTCCCTGGGTAGTGTCCTATTCCTCCTCCCGGCCGTGTTCAGTCTGGATCTGCAGCGGAGAGCTTCGCGACGTCTGGAACTTCTGTGTTGTCTCAAAGCTTCGGAACCGAACCACGAAACGCTAGACGGAAGGAACGACTCCGCTACCGAGCTGGTGACAGGTCAGCCGGTGCGCGTCAGGGACGAAGCCTTCGTTAAACCAACGGTGTCGGTGATCTCAATCGAAGAGAACGACGAGAACGAGCTTCGACTTCGAAGGCAACGCGGCATCGACGACGGATGCTTCGGCTTCTCGCTCAGTAGCTTCGCCTCTGACGTTTATGCGCCGCTTGTTCATCATCCCGCAGTGCGGACGCTGGCTGTGCTCTCGTTCATCGGGCTGTTGATATTCGGAATGTGGGGTGTGACGCATCTCGAAGACGGGATGCAACTCAGTGACCTCATTCCCAAGCAGAGCCACGAGTATGAATACTTGATCAGGCAGGAGAAATACTTCAGGTTCTACAGTATCTTCGCCATCACTCAGGCGAACTTTGAATATCCAGCCAATCAGCGACTTCTGCACGAGTACCACTCCGCCTTCGCTCGCGTGGGCAACATAGTGAAGAACGACGATGGAGGTTTGCCCGACTTTTGGCTGTCGTTGTTCCGGGACTGGCTCCTAGGTGAGTAACCCCAGCCCAGAACGGGATTCCAGGGGAATTTAGTTCTGTTCGCGATACCGTCGCACGTTCTCAGCCCACTGCGTGGTCATCGTTTCCATTTACCGGAGCGCGGCCGTTTTCGGCCCGAGTGCGCAATTTAATTACGATAAAATCCGGAGCCTTTCCGGAGAGCTCCATCCGCGACTGATCTGATTTAGATAAGTTTCCAGTCCGACATGTTCGTTTATTATCATCTGTTTTTCGATCTGTCGAAGCACACCGTCGACAGAGCCGGCGAGGCGTTATCTCGGTGATTGACGGAGAAGGAAAACGCTGCGCGATCGCTCGTTGGATTCGCTCTGCGATCCGTGCAGGCTGCTGATGAATTTGTGCGTGCTCGCGTGCGAGCATGCGTGCGTGCGTGCCCTCCCCTGATTTCTCATAAAGGAAACGCGAGGAGACGCCCTTATCGGGAAGCCGGCCTGTCTGCCAGATCGTTCTGCCCGAGGGAGGCGAACTCTCGATGCGCTGTCGAACTGCGACGTTCAAGTGTGCTTTTCTAGTCTTTGGTCAAATCTTCTGTCGGCTCGAACTCCTTCCCCCCGTTGCTCAGTTGTGGCGGACGATCGCCTCAGACAGATTTCCCCAGGGAGGAGATATTGAGAGATACATCATAAAACAGAAGACAACCGAGAGCTCCTTGGGTTAGCCTGGCTTAGATAAAAAGGCAATTTGTAAGCGATAAGAGATAAGCTGCTTTCTCGCTCCTTGGAAGGGCATGTGACAGATTTACGATGCGGTGTAAGTCAACTGACTCTCGGCGGCCACTGAGAAGAGCCACGGAGCCAGCAGACTTTCGAGCGGATGAAGAAGTCACTCTCAGAAAAGAGAAAATTCCGTCCAGTTCCGCCTCGTCTGGGAATCGCTCGTCCGATGCGCCGTCTTCGCAGAAGGATTGGGCGGCGATCTGGCCGTGTTGCCACCTCATCATCGGACCTTAAGTAATCCCGCTTTCGGAAAAGCCCGGAGCCCGACGTCCCGACCAGTGGTTGGCGTTGCGTTCAACGGCGGCGATTGGATTAGTTTCGCTAAATTCCTGCCTCTCAACCGCTCGTCGGTCGCCTTGCCTACCAGGTACACAGAGACAGGTCACAAGCTTCGCTGTGATTTGAAATCCGGAGCCGCTGCCGATGTATGAGAATTTTTGCCACCCTCGTTTCAACTGAAGTCAATGAAGCCTGTTTGAGCACCTGATGAAGACGAGGCCACACAAAGAGTTTTCTGAGTGAACTCCGGTCGGCGCCGCGTTCGGAGTGGTGCAGCTTTCTCTTAGCGCACCCCTCGAGCGCTTCAGCCGCGCTTCCGTTACTTCGCTTGTGAACTTGCGGATAGAAGAAAGCGTCTCGATGCGTCCCCCGTTTATTCATCATCATTATCATTCTTACATTATTCATTAAAAATCCCAAGGTACGGCATTCCGGTGCCCCGATTTACGTCGAGACCGAGCACCTCGACCCCAGCGATAGATGAAGGGCGGGCGAGGGCGGAACCGAATTCGACTCGAACTCCACGACTATGCTCTATCGAAAAAAGAAGAAAATAAAGCCCGAAATCCGCTCGCGATAAACCTGCTGCCACTGTCATTCCCAGGCGGGGTAGGAACGAACGAAAACTCACCGAAAAGGCGCCCCATTCATCAGAGCGAGACAACCTGGGCCGCTTACCCGATAGCTTGTTTAGCGATTGCTTGTTTGCTCGGCTTGTCGTTCCGATGTTCGTTGCAGTTGTCCTTTCTGGTAGCGAAGACGGCAGCAGCCAGCCAGCCAAGCAACCAAGCAACCACAAAGCGAGCGTCAAAGCGGCAACACCGAATGACAACTAATTTGTTAGCCGAAACTTTGATCTGAACGGAATGTAGGATAGTCGCGCGGAGAGGCGCACTCAAAGCCGATGGAGCCGACGCTGTCCAGACAGCCGAGCCTTCGGAGTATGAGAGTGCAGATAACTCACGGCTTCCGATAGACAATACTTCGTTAGGCGCAGACAGACACACGCATACGAGAACGCTGCTCTGCAATGGAGCCTCTCTGATCTGGAGCGTTTGTTTCATTCTTTTTTTTTCTGTATCGACCGTGACCGCACAAATACAAGTGCTTTCTCTGCAAGTCTGTCTAGAGCATGCCCACTCCAATCAGCGAGCGGAATCCGAGACCTGTGAAACAAACAACAATGCATCAGATCTTTTAAATCACCAACCCTTCAGTGTGGCTGGGAGCTGAGAGGCTTTTCACTTGTCAGTTGGGGGGCTTCGAGAGCGAGTTTCATTTCCTAAGGTTCTTCTCACCGTTGCAGGCCTTCAGAAAACCTTCGACGATGAGCTCCGCCAAGGCTTTGTCAACACCGAAGGCTGGACAGCGAACGCCACCACGGATGCTGTGCTCGCCTACAAGCTCCTTGTGCAAACTGGCCGATCCGACAACCCCATCAATAAAAGTCAAATTTTGACGAATCGTCTCGTCGACAGAGACGGTATCATCGACAATAAAGCTTTCTATAACTATCTGACCGCGTGGTACAACAACGATCCCCTGGCTTACCAAGCGTCTCAGGTAAGCGTTCCTCCAAGCTCGCTGGTTCGATCAAATTCGGACGGCGCTTCCATATTCTCAATTTCGTGACGGAGTTCAGTGGTCAAACCGAAAGCGCAACTCTTCCCTCCCCTTCCAGGCCCAACTCGTCCCTCAGCCTCCGCACTGGGATATGATCGCCCGGTCGAACGAGCTCAGGATCAAGAAAAGCTCAGCTATCCAGTACTCACAGCTGCCATTTTATCTCCACAATCTGAACTCGACCAAGGAAATCACTTCAGTCATTGCGCAGCTGAGAGCGATTTCGGAAAAGTTCGAAGATCGCGGGCTGCCAAACTTCCCCACCGGACTGCCGATAGTATACTGGGAGCAGTACCTCAATCTGAGATTCTATATGATGCTCGCGATCGTCCTGATCCTGGTCACTGTATTCATCATCATCTCATCGGTCCTTCTCAACCTGGCCGTTGCCCTGACGATAACCGTTGTCCTGGCGAGCTGCGTCTGCCAGGTACTCGGCGTGCTTCACGCTCTTCACATGACCCTGAGCGCTGTCCCGGCGGTCCTGGTCATCATGAGCATCGGCATGGGAGTGGATTTCATGCTCCATCTGACGATGGCTTACCTGACGGCTCTCGGAAATAAAACCCGCCGGGTCAGCATGGCGTTGGAATACATGTTCGCCCCAATGGTGCATTCAGTCATCACCACCCTGCTAGGCATCGCGATGCTGGCGTTCTCCGACTTCGAGTTCGTGATAAGGTAAGATATCAAGCAGCGTTCGATTCTTTTTTCGTGCGTTTTGTAAGAAGCCGTTCCTTTATTTCGTGCCGCGAATATCGAACATACACAGGTAGCTTCGTTGAAAGTGAATTCGTTAGTTTGCCTCTCGGCAACAGCGTGACAGTTTTACGGCTCCATGTGCGGCTTCTGGCAGAGAGGAACATTCGATCAGCGCGGCCCCATTCGCCGACCATTGTTAGAAGAGATTTAGAGCTTGGCTTTCTTCTTGGCTAGAGAGACGGCAGCGGCGACGACGACGACGACGATTTCTCCTCTCGGCCCAATGAAGTTCTTTGCGATGTTCATGAGGGGTTTTGTTGCTTGCCACCCATGTTGGTTCAAGCCGCCCCCCTGCTGGAGTCCATGGATTGGTGTACGCATCAATCGAGAGAGCCACGACTGGTTTTTTAACCGCTCGCCCGACGCGGTCTTCAGATCCGGCTGGACGGACGGACTATCGGTCGCTCGATAGATTTTCCGTTCTCCGTGAGTCTCTACGAAACTGAGAAGCTCTTCGAGTGAGGTGCATTAGGATGGTCTCGTCCGTTGCGGAAACGCCCCTCATTAGCAAACCCCACCCAATCTACCACCCACAGCGATTCGGTAGGAAGTCGGAAGCGCGGACGGATACGCCTCCGAGCGAGCGAGATTGTCGTCTTGGATGGCCGAATCTCGATATCTTATTCGTTTCCCCGATTTCCTAGTGATCTCGGACGCCTCGTGCCAGAGCCCGTCGTCTCCTCTGGTCGACCGAGACACTTCCCGCTTGAGGTTTCAACGAGAAGGCGTCGAATTTCCTCCTCCTCAACGGCAGTAAGACAGACGACGCACGAGGAGCACGCGTTTCGGAATTCTCCCGCTAGACAAGCATCGAGCGGACGGAAGCATCCGGAATCCGGAATGATGAGAATTCTCGCTCGACCGAATCCTCCCTCGACAGAGATACCGACCGCCAAGAGTTTTAGCGTTCTCGCTCCTGCGATTCGGCGATTAGTAGACAAAAGACCAATGGTCACGATGCCGCCCTCGATAGCGGCCGCTGATGATTCATATCGATCAGACTCGAGCTGATCACTAATCACCGAATTTGGCGGATTTCGCGGCTTGGGCGTCATCTAGACTAGAGACAGCAAAACGAATACAGCCGCAAAGCACCTCCCTGCATCGGAGAACCACCACCATCGGGCTCAGAACTGCCCCCGGTCGGTTCGACGACGACAGAGGCGGCGGCGACGACGACTACCACGAGGGTGGTCTCTCACTGCCATTTCCCCTGGTAGTTTCAGCTGACAGGCTCCCGGACTCGTAGCGATCGCTTCGGTCAGGTTCGGCTCTGATTTAGGTTTGCTCGACTCGGTTGTCCCAAGCGAGCGAGCGACCGACCGGCTTCTGATCGGTGTTCGGTTTCATCGTCAGTGGTCGGCGTTGGTCGAATGTTTCCAGCTAGAAACGAACCGAATTCCTCCCGTCGATCTTGAGTTTCAGTCCGGCGAATGTGTTTTAAGCGTCCTTATGGTTGTTTCGTTCCAGGCATTTCTCCTATCTACTGTCGGCGATCGTCGTCATCTACTCGTACAGCGGGTTCGTTGTACTCCCCGTTCTGCTCAACCTCGTGGGACCTCAAGGAGAATTGATCCCGCGGAAGAATCTCAATCGGATCGAACCTCCGACGCCGCGGTCGTCACCGATATTGAAGTCTCGGAGCTCTTCCCGCCGAAAATCCCGGCCCGACGATCTGTCCAAGCGGAATAGCAGACGCGAAGCGCTCGCTGCCAGATCTGATTTCTCGCTATCAACAATCACCGAGGAACCGTCCTCTTACCAATGCAGTTCCCCCGAGCCGGAACCGGCTAAAATAGTCGTCGAGCCAGAAATAACTGTCGAAACGACGACAACCACGACGAACATGTGCAACGGTACTGTGACGGCATCGGCGACGACATCTGCCCCGAGTCCGATGCCATCAACGGCCTCGAGCGGAATCGATAGTCGGACCGATAGTCCCACGGTCGTTACGACGACGGACGTCACTCCGAGCGGTACCAACGTAACCACTAAAGTCACAACCACAGCCAAGGTCAAAGTTGAAGTTCACGCTCCAATGCCTTACGTGCACCACGATTATTATTGGGCTGGACGGCCTCCAAGCCGTCGAAGTTCGCGCCAAACGTCCGATTTTAAGCGGCCGGCTGGTCAATACGCCGAATTCAATAAGTGCCGGTAAGGGCGTGAATGATGTGAAGGATGACAAGAGGGGTCATGTATTCAGAGCGATGTCGCTCCCGACAAAAAATCGATATTCCTGTTGGACTTTTCTTATTTTTCCCCCCCCCCCCCCCGGATGGGAAGGGTAGTCGCCACATGAAAGAAGAACGATGCCTTGTGCTAGCCATGTAGGCTCACTGTTGTATTGATCGGTGTAAATGTTGTAAAAAATCGTTCATTAAAAAGTTGTATATGCTCCAGTGTGCGTTAGGTAGAATGAGAAATATTATTGTAAATTAAGAGATGTACATACGTGTTGCCAGAATATTACATCTGTCACTGTAGGACGATTGATTGAGTCTACCTCAGAAGACGTTCTTCTTGGAGGCAGTAAAAGCCTTGTCGAATCTCAACCTAGCTCGGAGAATAAGTTAAGTCTTAAGTTGTTGTTCTAGTCATGCTCTGGGAGCTGAATAAATGAACTCATGTGTATTCAGGTAAACTTGGGCTATTTTTATTGCCGAGGCTCGCCCTCAAGAATATTGAAAGACTGAAGAGTGTCCTTCAGACTTGATCCATCCGATTCCGGGGAGGCGTAGCTCTCTCTCGGACACTGCAACGACGACAAGGTGTTCGGACAGACGAAAAAACATTCTATCGAGTCGGCATATATTTATTGCATGGTCCGCGTTTTCATTCGGTCATAGCCACAAAAGTCACGCCCAACCACTCATGATTACATCGCACTGGATGTAGAGCGAAAAATTGTGACTACGCCGGGACGAGAAGACTTGAGTCTGTTATTTCTCGAAATGGCTCAACTGTACGTAATATCTACCCTCGTTTTCCGATTGGCGTTTTGACTCAGCTGAGAAAAATCTCTTCACGAGCCGTCGACTTCAGCGGCGCACGGATCGTCTCTCATCCACGCGATCACATGATGCCGTCTAAACGATCCGAAGATCCGCGCTCATCTCCTCCGATACCCGAATATTAGGAAGGTAGATGGAGAGGGTCGGAAATAAATCAGTCACAGTGTATACGGGAGACGTCTCGGGGCATCATGATAAATATTGTGAGGTCTTCGCTCTGAACAAAAGTCATAAGTACTTTCGATTCGGCTCGGTGAGCAGAAGGAGATCAAGACTGGAAAGAGCTGCCCGATTAAATATGGTAGAACATCTCTTCGTGTTCTCTGTAAAAAAAAGTGATTGGCTCCCCTCTCATGCTCATGTAAATGCGAAGGCACTTTTCTCCATCACGAAGGAAGATCCGAGGAATGTTTGAGATTCGTCCCAGCTTCCAAATCCCATATTGGTCCAAGACAGTGACTCCCGGCGTTCCTGACACGCCAACCTCGGAGGTGAATCCCTCATACCGACCTATCTGATGAGAGTCTAGCAGGCCGCGGCGTGTCATACGCCGGAAAAAATCTCCCCGCGGCGAACGAGTTGAACTTATTGAGGAAGGGTGCGAGGTACGGATTCCTCCCAGAAGTTCGTTTTGCATTCTGATCACAGGGTGCAAACTACAATTCGTCCGCCAGAGGATCAAATTTATCGTAAATGTATTTGGTCTGCTTGGGCAGCCTCAAGGGATCTTCTGATGCAACGTTGCGGAGGTCCCTGGCAAGGTCCTCAAAAGTTGGTCGCTCATCCGGATCCATTTCCCAGCAATGGAGCATCAGTTGGAACAGACTCGTGTCGACTCCGCGAGGCTGACTCAACCGATGGCCTCGGGATAATTTCGTTTGCACGTCGTTCAATTTGATGTCCACGAAGGGAGTCCCACCCAGCGTGAATAGCTCCCAAAGAAGGACCCCAAAAGACCATACATCCCCCTTGTGAGTCACGCGTCGGCGCATGGCTTCCGGGGCAGTCCATCTGGTGTAGTCCAATCTTTTCCCAAGTGGGGTATACCTGCGAAAAGGAACGATTTCATGAGCGATGAGCAACCACTTGGCACCTGGGGCGTCCTTCTCTCCATGAGTTCAGTCCGATCCGGAAACTCACCTGGCGATACAGAAGTTCGATATCTTTGGAACCATATCGGGTAGCACCACCATAACGCTCCTCGTGGATAAATGACCGTGGGTCACTCCGCGATGGGCCAAGTGTTTCAAACCGTCGGCCAATGAGATTGCCATCTCCATGAGTCGATAGTCCGGTATCGAGCAGACACGATTGTCCTCCTGAGTTTGTCTGAAACATCGAAACTATGAGACGAACATCGGGACTTCTCGACCGAAGAACACCGAAATGCGTATTGGAGTTATCGATATGAATCGCGCATGATAGAAATCACGAACCGACTAGACAGAAGAATTCCTCTGAGGGGGTTGTTCGGGTGCTCTGTGGCCATCCACAGAGCGTCGCCCTCTTCGCAGCCTCCGATGAACTCTACTATGTTCGGGTGCGCCCCGATCCTCACCATGGCCTCGAGATCAGACAGAAGTACTCGGCGATCGCGATCCGAGAGCGCGAAGTGGGCTCCGCATCTATGAGAAACGCTATTGGATCTTAGAATCGAGACACCGAGCGGTCGGTCGAGAAGCCCAGCACCGGAATCGATACCGACCTCTGTATCTGCGCCGCGATCTCTTTGCCGTTCCGCAACACTTTGCCAACTCTCACAGGCCCGTAAGTACCCTGGCCCAACATCGTCTCTGAGATATGGAGCTGGGGTCTCGGTATCTGCCAGTACAGATCGCACAATTTGTTGTAGAAGCCATTGAGGTCCGCTCCCTCTTCAAGATGCAAATGACCATTCCCGAAGTAGGTATTATCCTGCGAGAAAAAGAAACCTTGAGTGGATGGTCCGATCGAGGTTCGATGGGATGCGGGCAGGAGGATTGTACAGGGTTAGAACGCCCGTCTGTTGGAAGACGAGAAGTTTGCCGAATCGGAGCGAATCAAAAGGGCCAATCGTAAACCAGGATACTCACGTTGTCGTGGTCGTGAATCTTGAGGATGAGCTCGTCAGAACGCCTCTTCTGGCTGTACTGTCTTCTAAGTATAATATAAAGTATGAATGAGGCAACTAGGAGGAAGCCTAGGATTCCAATAGCCACCGAAAGCATGAACACCAGAACCGCGTCCCGACGGCGCATCGATTGCGCCATGGGTTCTTCGAGGTCTACAACATTCCCATGTAACACGTGGGCGGACAACGGAGCGGAGTACACGGCCTTCGTTTCCTGGGAATCGGAGAGTTCGCTCATAGATAGGGAATTGAAGAGGTTTGACCCCGGACCTCATACCGCTGAAGAGCTTCGACTCGTGACGAGGGGAGCGATTGGTCGCTGTGGTCAGAGAATCGATCGATTCCGGGAGATCATTGAATAAACACTCACTCCGTTCAACATGCTGATGACTCCAATCAATATATCGAATTTCTGATTCTCTGGGAGCAACGGATTTGATATCCCATCTCCCACGATGAAGAATGAATCGATATCGCTCGGGGCTCGCTCGCCAGCGATATAGTATGTTGTGCCCTCCTCATTGGCTTTGTTGTAATCCTTCAACCTCGACGGGTCGAAAGCCATCACGGAGTCGCTCTCGAGTACGACAATTTGGTACCTCCTGAAAAGAGAGTGAATGAATGGAGGATGGACCCTCTAACCAGCCGGCCCCCGCGGAGACGATCCAGTGCTGAATTAAAGAAAAATCTCGGACTCCGCGAAGATTCTACAGAGCTAGAGGAGAGCGATCTTACGATATCGGGCCCCCGAAGTTCTCAGGTGGGATGATCTTCACTTTGATGAGGCGTTTCCCATCCTCTGTGACTTCCTTCGTTTCGGGACGAGGGGGCGCGGTCAGATCTGGAATCGATGAGAAACTCGAAAAGTCACTCAATAGCTTCCAATCGTCGGAACTATTTTTTCAGAGACCCTGTACGTGAATACGTTCGCGTCTGAATCTAGGGAAGCCATAGACATCTAATCACATGAATACACATATAACGAAGGGAAAGATCTGAGCTAGAACATCCTTCTCACCTCCTATCAGGGTCCACGCCTCGACGAAGCTTTTCTCAGTGTAATTCTTGTCGGCCGTCTCCCCCCAGATGGAAATATTATAACGAGTCGCAGCTGTCAAGCCTAGCAACATGAATGAATTCTTCTGGGAACTCGCCGTGCCTCCATACGGCTCAACATTCGTAGAGTATGAGAATATTGGTTGTGCCGTCACCGGGTAAGAGTCCAGCGTGAAACCCGGCGGGAATGATACGCTCGACCAGGAGATCGTGACGGAATTGCTCGTGGCGTTCAGCACGCGGACATTCTGCGGACCAGCAATGCCTGAAATCGGACGGAACTCGTGAACCGAAGACGATAGGGGGGTTCCCAAGCTACATATCTTTCCTGGATCGACTAGGAAAATCTCGATCCTCCATCACGTTTCCACGTTCAGGGAGAAGCTCCACAAACGTCATCTAGAACAGTAGCCGAGATATATTCCCGGTATGAGCAGGCCACGCCAGGATGTGACGGGTGCTTTCAACTCTTGGGTGTGGTGACATCGACTCGATTTGGGTTGATTTGGGTTGGTGACAGCTGACCGACTAGGCTGCAAGCCACAACTTGTTCTAGATGGTTCGATTCGCGGGGACGTATTCCCAGGAACATGATTATTGCCCCGCCGGCGTCCCGTCTCTCGGGACCAAATTTAAACTCCCGCGATGCCGGCGGTCTCAATCAACAGGTGATGAGATTTCGAAGAGATTTCTCGGCGAAAGTTTTCGCTCGAGTATAGGGCAGCGAGCCGCACCTAGTCGGCGTGACCGAATTCTATTATGGGGACTAGGTTACACGACTTCGGTCGCTGTCATTATCGGCACCAGAAACAAGGCTTTACCTTGACTCAGTGCCAGGGCAGTGGCCAGGTAGGCCACGACGAGCTGCTGGTGGCTGCTCCACCCCATGCTGGGGATCGACCTTGGGCTCGGCTACCTGAAAGAGTGGATCAACACACGCCTTAGTGAATGATAGGCAAGCATCGGGCTTCTCCGCATGATTATAATGTCGTCCGACTTTTCCCGATTCGTCCGACCGCAGCCCCGAGCTCCGAGCCGCATCGTACAGCCATGAAAAAACTCTCATAAATTCAGTGGAATCCCTGGCCGGCTCTCGTATGCTTATGAGCCGCCCACGCTGCCTCGGCAGCGACGACGGTCTCTGTAGACCGAGAAACTTATGTCATTTCTTCCCAGTGGATGAGCGTGAGTCATCGTTCGTTCGATGCTGCGCTTTGCCTTCCACAGCCCGAACCTACGCATTTTCCAGGGCGAGGAATATTTGCTCTGGGCTCCTCGCATGATTTTCGTGGAACCCAAAAGTGCTTCGATCAACCGATTGACTCTTTCGATGGTTGAATGAGACCCGGAGGAAACTTCGCCGCCGGGTCCGATGAAAGTTTTCTGACTGAGAGGCAACCCTTGCCCCGAAGCGTGTTTGAGCGAGCCGAGACGCCGCGACCAGAAAGAATAGCCCTCAATTGTTCGCGGCTCTTGGAAGGAAGCAATGACAAATGAGACGTTGTTCTTCGGTACAGCTCGAGAAGCACCGCGTCCGCGGCCGGGACTTCGTAGTGCCGAACGGCTAGCTGGTTGGCTGCGTTTACTCTAGTGCTTCCATGGCAACGGCTGGCTGAAAAGAAACGATAAAAGCGGCTCCTATCGTGTCCGCGAGGCAGCGAAAGGAATTCGATCAACGACGCTGTCACGAAATTTTCCACCGCGTCCGAGCCCCACCTCACGCAAAACTTCGGAAGATGTCGCAAGTCCGCGTTTTCTCGCCGGACTCAACGCGTCGGCGTCGGTCGCTAATCCCAGAATCGAGCCAAGAGGACCTGAAGCATTCTCTCTGTCGGATCCGGTTCTCCCAGCCCTCGCTTCCTATCAGAAGCTCAATGGCCGGTCTCCTAGACGCTTTTCCGATCTGAGGATTCTAAGGAAGACCCCACGATCGCGTGGTCGGATTTGGGTTCGTTCCTCATCATGAAAACGTCTGAGCTCCAGGAATTTCGAGAGCAAGACGTGACTCGTCGTTCCGCATCTCCCTTTCAGGAACCTGTGCTCTGCGTGAGAGACCACTTGATGAGCAAAGTTGGAGCGATTCCGCTCGGTCGGGGTCCCCAGGACGAAAAATACTTCAGCGCGTTAATTGTTCGCCTCGTCGTGGGAAGCTCCTGTCGAATGTCAAGCGACCCTTGCTCCACACGAGATTGATTAGCCATTAGCCAGAGTGCCCCCTGAACTTGACTGAGCGGATTCATCGGGTCTATATTTATATCGATAAAGCGTCAAAATCAAGCGATCGGGACAGAGCGGAAACTTTGCAACGGAGCGCCGCACACCCTGCGAATGTCTACCCGGCGATCCGATTGACATCCATCACTGCAAACACCTCGAAGCGAGGTTTCAAAGGAAGGCTCTCCATGGACGACTCTAAAAGAGACGGTTTTTCGTATTGGGAAACTTCGAGCGCGGGAGTTTCGAACTTTGCTTGGAGAACCACCAGGAGCTTTCGCGTTTTTTCCAGAGCACCGGAGGGGCTGTATTAGTTTCGGAGAAGAGCGACTACCCCGAAATAACGACGCGCCTCTGCTCCCCCGTACTTCAGCCTTACGACCGAAAAGTTTCTGGGGGGGCATTGCTTCCCCCTCATGAACGAATGTCAACCTGACTGATGAGGATACCGCGATGTACCCTGCGCGGCGAAAGTAACGCGGATAGGAAGCCCATCAACTCACCGGAGGACGAATTCTCCTTCTCAACTAGGACTTTCCTTCCTCACAACATCTTGTACAAGGCTTACTGAGGGAACCACTGCCTGGCAGCAGCAGCATAACACGCATAGTCAGCGGTCGGCAGCTGCAGCGGCGGCGGAGAGGCAACGTTCGGTCCTTCTCTTTCTCTACCTGAACTCCGCCGCTGTCGCCGCGGTTGCCGTCACATGATCATCATCAGCCCGGACCGCTCAGATCTCCGCTGCTTGAGCGGTGAGCCGCCATCTTGAGAGATACTCAACTCCCGCTGCTAAGAAAACGCATCGGTGTGCGGACCAGCTCGACGGCCAACTCCTGCTCAGACGGTGTCGAGACTCCTAATCCGGTGCGTCCAATGCAGAGGCAGCCTGCATCCTAGCGAGCCCGATTTCACCCGGGTGCAAACGGATGGGGTGATGAAAATGATCTTTGCCTGTCCAAAGGTCCGAAGCGGGCGGCCGCTCGTTTGCCTGCACTTCGTGCTGCGAGCCAATACTGTCACCCATCCCGTTGTTAGGCGGCATTCCCGATCCCTGAATGATATAAAGCATACAGGCAATCAATCCATGAGGCGCAGTTGAGCAAGAGGGGGTGCTCCAGCCAGCATACGGGGAGCGACGCATGAGTCGAGGGGATCGAAGATACATGAGTTTGAACGGGCGGAAGGAACGAAAAACCGAGAGAAAACGGTGAACGGAACGAGAGGATACCAATTGAAGGTAAACGAATCGCAAGAGGAAAGGAAAACAGGGGAAAACGGCACAGCGGGATGGGAAAATTTTTCGTCAGCATGGTGACGCGAAATAATTCATCCCGAAACCTGTCGCGTCTCTTGTATTTCATACATGGCGGGATCGCGTTCGGAGCTGCTATCGCGCTCTTCCAGATGGGGTTGTTCTGAGTTGAAGCTCCAGTTCGAATAATTTCGCTTTGACTCGCTTGCGAGCCGATCAGCCGTTCGAACAAGTTCTAGCGGTGCCGTAATTTCGGGCGCTCTCCTGACGCTAAAAAATGCGGACTCGACCAATCGAGCTCCTTCGACAAACTCTTATTCCTGGGTTCAAGCGCTCTGAACCATGTAGTGCTACTAGCACCAGCGAAACGGCTCGGTTCTCAAATCGAATGATGTTGAAGCGGTATTCCATTACTACAAGAAAATGGATACGGCCTCGGTGCCCCCGGGTCAGTCGCCCCACACGACTCTTCTCCGATTTCTAAAGTGTTCCGACCTCTTCGGTCGCCATCGATGTACATTCCTGGCTAGGCTGGATCCATCGTGGAACCGGGAATCCGCGATATTCACTCATAAGTCACAACCGAGTGAGCTTGCGACCTATACCTCGTTCGAACTCACGGTCGAATCCACGATTCGATGTTTCTCTCCAGCGTCCTCTCTTAAACTGGAATCCGACGACGCGACGGTCGATCGAGTGCCTCGCGCGTGCGTGATTTCTCGTGCGAATGAGCTCTACATTAAGCAGAAGTCCTCGATCACCGATTCCGCTGTCGATGTCTCGCTACTCGATATTGGAAGCGTTGATGATGAGTTCTTAAGTTTGTTCTTAAGTCTCATTTCTTGCTCGGACAAGGCACTCAGATTCGGCACGACAAACGGACAATCTGCAGTCAGGACCGTGACTTTTCGATGCCCGGGGCGAAAAACTCCGACTCCAGCCAGAACCCCGATTTTTTTCCATATTTTCCGGACTGATCCTTTTCTTATCTGCGACACCCGGAACTTCTACGATCTGCATTGATCCAGTGGGCTGAAAATTCCCGACAAATAAAACCTTTTAGCCCTTCTTTGGGCAAGTTTGATCCCCCTGGGAGCTGGATGCTCGGGGCCAGTTTCCCCGAGAAAGCTTCATCGAGGAACTGCGGCCGGTTAATCAGGATCTGCAGGACATTCGTGGCATCACGGGCGATGCAGCGGCCAGCATGAAATATCTGGGGGGGCTGCTCCAAGCTGGAGTTGGCTTTTCCACCCTATCATACCACCATAAGTGCGACGCACCCGCCTGACACCTTGCGGTGCCAGACGCTCTGAACAGCACCGCCGTCGATCCTGACGTTTGCTGTATCGATGAACATATCGGCTACAGAATACGCCTCTCACACGCACGGCTTGGAAATTCGAGAAGAGCCTGCGGAATCAAGGACTGGGGACGACGATCAAAGCGTGTTCGAAAATTATAGGGCAGGGACTTGCAAGAGTCCGAAGAGCATGCCTCTCGCTCCGCAGAAGATGTCGCGTGGCATTGAGCGTACCACGGAGCGAGGGTGGTTTTCTTAAACTGCGTCAACCGCTGGAACGGTGCTTTCGCAATACGAGAAAATTGGGGGACGAGACCGGACGGTGGAAAAATGTATGCGAGAAGATGAATTTCCGCTCACACCCTCTGACGAGGCGATCGTGCAAGAAATGATGACAGCACTACACTTCGTCGAGGGAGGGAACTGACAAGATGATCTAGGCCCGCGATTCTCAAACTTTTTTCTCCCTTCTGCCTCTTGGGGAGCGCTCGCGTCTCCCCCGAGGGTCATCGAATATCTGAGAATATAGAGTTTCGACCGAGACATGGCACAGTGCCGTTTTATCCATACATACGGCTCCATCCTTCAATTGTACAATGATTATTAGCTAGGAGTCTAGGAGTACAGTAGCAATGAGCTTGGTGGGCTTTCTGAAACTTGAAATCAGGTCGGTCGGGAACTCTCGGAACTTTGAGCGTCTCCCCTAGATTTCTCCCGCGTCTCCCTCAGGAGACGCGTCCCCCTAGTTTGAGAAATGCTGATCTAGGCCCTTAATGCCGCTTTACTGGACGCGGAATACTTCTCGAAGGTGGAAACCACGGACCAGGTCGTGAAATTCGGCTGTGAAATTCATCTCGCTCATGTCATTGGTACAAATATCGAAAGGCTGCTCTCATCCCAGCTTATGCTGGTAGGGGCTGGAGAGAGTGACGCGTCCGTATAAAGCGAAAAACCAAATTCGTTCCAACCGCAGCAGAGTTAGCTAGCGACAGAAATTACAGTCAATGCTCGATTTAGTGTACACCGAGGGGGGACGAAATAAACTTTGACTAAGTTTGGTGGACACTCGAGCTCATAACTAGTGAGTAAAAGGTCGCGCGATTCCGCCAGAAAACATGCATACACATACGGCATTTGACATTTTTTCTAAAGGAAATTGAAGAAAATTCCATAGTGAACGCGCAGTTTCGCATGCGCTGTGATCCTTCCGTGATGCTCTCAGACTCCGAGAGTATCTGACTTAGCATCACAGGACGTCCTTTATTCTCTTCTACGGTAATCCGTTAATTTATCCCATCATCTCAGTGATTGTGCACTGGTTCGGCATGGTGGCCGCGCGCCGGTTCTCTCCCGCTCAACAGCTCCAGCCGTCACCGTCCAAAGAGGAACTGGGTGCACCCCTGTCTTGAGACTCATCGAGCGGGGCAAACAGAATATCGGGAGCGTCAAAAGTCTTTCCGCAGTGTATATCAATATTCATGAACACAGTTTCCATCTTCGATGAGCCTGTTAGCCGATCACCCGCGACCCCCGTCCCTGGGGGTGAAAATTGGTGAGACTGGCAATCGGAAGAGCGAGTCCCACGCTAAAGCTCGATAGTATCGCCAATGTGGAAACGGGAGATGGCGAATCCAAGTCATCGCCGCGTTCTCATGATATTCATGATTCATCCGTTTTCTCTCTTCAAGCTTCTTGTTCTCCTAATGATATTCATCTCACATGGACCATCTCACGGATGATTAAGCCTCATAATTAGCACCCCATATTTAATGCCTACATCACTCCAGGTGCTATCCGGCTATCACTGGAAATTTTCAGGAGCTAGAATTGAGCTTGAAGCTAACGACCGAGCTCAATCCGTGAAACCCGGGTCGCTACATCGGTACCGGACTCAGCCCAGCGTTTGTTTCCATCGGACATGTGCAGCGAGACTGAAACGTGAGTGGAGAGTAGCAGAGACTGGATTGCGGTGCTCGAACAGTTCAACTTTTGAGATGATTTCTCTCATGAGGGGGCAGGAAGTGAATTCGGCGAAGCTCATCGATGACTTATGTTATGATCGATGACTTCTTCCTGATTTCGGAGCGGATGATGCTCATACAGACGGGTCGAGAGATGGGGGGAGCTTCATTCATCGATTTGACGATGCTGGGGCTCACTTCCGGATAGATATCGTGCTCTGAGTATCGCTCGACGTCATGAAAAGAGAGGAGGGTCCCTCCCCGCCCGCACGTCCTCGAATTCTAGAGTCAAGACCACATTGCCTCTTTCGTACACCCCACCAACGATGAGCCGAAACCTTGTTGTTGCTGTTCAAGTCGAATCTGGAGGCCACCGATGTCACCCGACCGAGCTCCCCGCTTTTCGCGCGGTCCGCGGCATGTTCCCAACTGTGGGCTGACCCTTCGTTTTATCACTCAGCTTCCGAACGCCGAACATCGAATTGGAGTCTCTACGGCTGAGCTCCGATTCATGCAACATCCGAAACGGATCCGGCCCCGACGGAGTTCAGCCTACGGAAGGTCACGCACGTATTTTCGCCAGGAATCGTTTCTTGTTTCTCAAGCAGATAATTAGCAACGACAGCAAGAAACGATTCGCCCTCGGTGTCGTGTTGTCGACTGCAGTGATGACATCAATTACTTTCAAGCTGCGGATGAGCTAGCGGTGCTATATTGTTCAAGGTGTTGATCGCCTGTATCACTCACTAGATGTCCGCTTTTTCTAATTTTCGACTTAATCGTTCGTCTGGACAAGGTCAGCTCTAATCGCAACGACAGCAATTGATGATTACTTCCTTCAATAGCATACCGCTTTTTCGAGAGGTGGCACACACCCTGCATCGACAGGATGACGCTCCACGTTCTCAAGGAATGAATGGCGTATATCAGGAGCTTGGCGATTGTCGCAAAGAGTCAAGATCGTGGCCCGAGTTCAAGCTTTGACTTGACTGAATCTATTGGTCAAGACTAGGCTTTGCGAACGCGGTTGCAATAATAACCGCAATTGCGGTTTTTCTTCAACATGGGACTCTTTGGTGGACAGCGGATAACCGCAGTAAATTACCGCGGTTTTTCATGAGATTTGCGGTTTTTTGCAAAGCCTAGTCGAGCCTCATAGATTCTGATTGGAGCGGTTTAGACTGGTCGACGTGGGTCAGCGCTTCGAGACTTGCACTGCGTAATGTACCCATGGGAATCGTCTGAGTAATCATCTCTTAAAACTTTACGAGAAACTCCTGAGTGATCGGCCGCATGGTCGCAGCTCATCTTGTCAGATTTCTCTTAAATTTTATGGCACCTCTCAGACGGCCAATGACTGACGATGGACGTCAAGATATGCAATGACGCGTGCGACCAATCTTCACGTCCAAGTTTTCCCAAAATTGATCGTTCATCGTCTTGAGAAAGGTCCTTGATAAGAGTAGCTCGAGGATGCATCGAGTTTTCTGTCGCGGGCCTCGGTTTCGCTCCACTGTCTGAGCCCTGCCTTGTCCTGTAATACGATTCTTCATCGTCTCCGTCTGTCCTCTAAGTCCTGAACATTCCAAGAAACTAAATTGTGAAGGAATCCCAGGTGACATCTCTCCATTCTCGATGCCTAGGTGGTCGACTTTGTTGGAGAGCGTGTCTGAGCCCGAGCCCTGGAGCAAAGTAGACTAGAAGTAGTCGAATCAGGGTCCTGAGTCATATCGGGTCGCCTATCATCCGTTCCGATCGAGCTATTCATTCTATGCTCCCTGCAGCCCGCATCGCTCAGGATTTCTCGGCCTGATAGCTCGCTCAAGCCAACCGTTCATAGCCTGGAAGTTCTTCTACAGCATTCGGATCAGTAGATCGACTTCACAGGACTAGACTGGTCGCGGGCTTCGACCCTGCGCTCCTCGTGAGATAGGGCCGATGTTTCTCATGATCAGTTCCGCTGTTTCGATGGAACCGAGTCGGGTCCGTCGCTGGTCGCTGGACCCGGCGCCGATTTCCGTCGATGTCGAGATGGCCTCCGTCATTTCGCCTGATGTCGGGCGGATTCGGACCACCTCAGGAACGACAAGGTGGAGACGCTCAAGACGGTCAAGACACCTCTCCGCTGACTGATGCAAGATCAGCCCCTTGCTCCTGCGCGCCTAGCTTTTCAGTATAGCACAGATTACTTAAAATAAAATATCACATGATACTGTTTCTCTACCTGCAGGGAATGCCTTTAAGCGGCAGGCCGCTCGGAGTATCAGCGTGAGCAGGATGGGGGAAGAAGGGACGGACTTCTCATCGAAGGATTGTATGAGCTCGGTCGATTTAATCGGAATCCACTTCGAGATCGAGCGATTCATCATAATAATCGTAATCTGAGAGGAACCGAGTCGAAGATCTAGCAGGACCTTCAGCTGGAAGTGCCTTCACCGTCTGAAAAGGCGGAGGTTTGCGAGGGATGACCCCCGGCTCCGGAGAGATCCCGTCGTAAGGAGTTCCCGATGCCGAAGAAGCTGACCATCGCGGTGAGTGCAATCCCGTTGCTACACTGCAGTGTCTCGGGGAGCTCCCGCACTCGAGGCTCCCCGGGATTCGGTGACTCTCGCAGAAAATTCCGGACTGCGGATCATCCTCGAATTCACCTTTAGCTTTTCAAGAGAAAATTGTAGTCATCAAGTCACACGTGTTTAATTTCAAGCTGAACCATCTGAATGAAATCATTTCTCATTCTTTCTCCTCAATGGCTCTGCTGAGTTGCCATTCTCTCATGACTGGACATGACGGACTTCACGATTCTGAGGCGCGTTCCCGACCGTCTACGCATTATTGTTGCTTGTTGGGTGATTAATGAGAATGAGAACTCCGATCCGAGCTCGAGCGATCGTAGGAATCAATCCGATCGGGACAGACGGCTTTCGGATTCTCGGGATCTTCGCTCAATCACTGGCTTCGGCGCGGGACAGGACGAACTTCGGTCCCCAGACATTCTTGGCGTTGACAAGCCTCTCCCCAGTGCCGTTAACGATGGAGCGCGCCCTCTCTGCCGCGTGTGGTAGGAGCTAAATATTCGAGCGCGCTGCACAGTGCTTTAGGCTCCCCGGGGCCTTCTTTGGAGCACCTTCGGGATCGCCAGTCTAAGCTCTTCGCTGTCGTCTCATCTTGACGGGGGCAAAACTAGCGTTGACTCTTCCTGTTCTTGTACTCCATTCTTGCGCTACCTATTCCATCCCTCTCTCAGAGAGAAGCACGCAACTCTTTCTTCGTCACTGTGGACTCTTCAGACGGGCTGGCTCGCGATCCCTTTTATTCTTTTCAAGCGGACTCAACAATCTGAGTCGCTAACTCCAGCGATGCGTCCTAGTTTGGAATTTTCGGTGAAACCAGACATCGTCTACTGGACCGGTGGCCGCATCACGACGGTGACTCTGACTGTGCTCGGTTGTATGGTGCAGACCGCATCGTATTCAGTGTTGGCTCCTTTCTACCCAAGCGTTGCGAGGAGTAAGGGCAACGATGCGACTCAGATCGGGATCGTGTTCTCGGTTTATGCATTTGTGGGATTCATCAGCAGCCCCTTCATCGGTAGAATGGTGAGTTCTCTTGAGGAGCCTGCGGATACCCCCTACCCCCTTCCCGGATCGATGGGGTGCCTGATACTCGAGTTGTTTCAACGCTTGCACACGTCGTACATCGAACGAGACCTCGCGCGTTCTGATGATAAGTTTTTGAAGATGTGACCGAAAGAGATGAAGCACTCGATGAGCTCCCATGATAGAACGGCCTTGACTCGAGCGAACCCTCTCCCCTCGTCATGAGATCATGGATTCAAAAAGGATCCGGATGCACTGTTCCGAAGACCATCCGGTGGAATTGAAGAGGGACCATCATTTATTTCAGCAGTTATCGATTAGCGGGGTAAAGATATCAGAATAATGTAAATTGTCGCACAGAGAATGTTGACAACCACGAGGAAGACCATCACATTGAGTATCGAGGTATTGATTCCGGGACACGTAGAGAAGAACACACAGCAACGGTCTCTCGGCTGCGTCTGATTCAACAATTCGCCCTGGAAAAGCATGGTCTTCCGCGAAAGCGGCAGGTGTTTCTCGTTCGTGCGGTATCACAACATCGTTATCGGCGGAGCTTCCGGAACCTATTCCGTCCATTCGAATCGTGAATCTATGAAACATCCTTAGAGTTTCTCACGCTTGATTGGAGCGCTGACTCCGCCCATCTGGAGCCGCGAGACCTTGACTTCGCCTCGAAGGCGCTACTCGATTGCCACTGTACCGCCAATGGCGTGCGATTTTCTATTCGGCCTGTCTTCAATCGAATCCTGTTCGCTTCGGAGGATATCAAAAGTTCGGACTGCCTCCGCTCTCGATCGACTCGCGGCTGCTTTCCGAAATCCCGTCGGGGGTGCGGCTTGGACAAGAGGCGCTGCGACATATCATGCAGCCTTCCCCACTCGAAACCTGCGAGTTGCGACAGTTTGACTGACGTTTTCTAACAGGCTTTCAGGAAGCACTAATTGACTCACTTCATCCGGGGCTCACCGAATCCGTGGAATAAAATTAACTTTGAGGGGGAAGAATGGATTTGGACTAGAGGGATTTTCTCGACGGCGAAAATAAAGGCTCGTTCCTCTTTGCAGCTTTCCTCCGGAATTACTGTCAAGTCCGTCATGTTGCTCGGCCTCGCCTTAGATGGCCTGTTCCTCACCCTGATGGCCTTCCTGTCGGCGATTGAGTCCTCGATGCTTTTTTTCGTTGCATCCCTAGTGATCCGTTTTGTCGAAGCCATCGGATTCTCTATGTGTCTCACATCGTACTACACTCTGATATCCGCTCAGTTCCCGGACAAATTACAGATCATGGTGGTAAGCGATCATTCTGAGAAGAGTATCCTAGCTCAGGACTACGGAAACTCAGGATTGGAACATTTCGAGCGGATAGAGCTCGAAGACTTTTCGTTGGGATTTTCTATTTTCTTAAAGTTTTGTTACGTTCAAAATCTCCGGAGACGTTTGACGAGGTTTCCCGATTACGTGGGATGGTCTCTCTCGCTCCGCGTTGTGCTACGATAACAGTCCGCGATGATTGAACAATGAATGAAATGATCCGAGATGACTCAAAGTATCTGTCCACACATTTCAGCCGCTGATAGAGACAGTTTTCGGATTTGGAATCATGATTGGACCCGCGGTGGGCGGTCTGCTCTATAGCGTGAGTGATTTTCCTAAGCTGATATCCCGATTGTTGTTGCAGATGATGTTCCCATCGATGGTTGTCGGCTCTCTGTGGTATTGTAGTAGCAAGAGTTTATCGCGGCTCTTAAACCATTGACAAACGATGTCATGGACGCATTGTCGAGTACTTTGCCGATGATTAGTTCCTGCTCCATGCTTTTATCATGGGAATGCATAGCTTCTTCCCCCGACGTCGGCTCACGAGAACTTTTCGCCTCGAGTCGCCTTTCTGACATCCATCGGCATCATCTGCCGACAAGATTTATGTACATAGTATCGAGTGATTATCGAAGCGAGAGCGTTTCCCAATAGAACGTTTCATTCCAGATTGGGGGCTATCGTCTACCCTTCCTGGTGTTCGGAACAAGCAGTCTGCTTTTCGCTGCCCTGACTTTGATCCTGCTTCCGGATGAAGGGAAGACGGGAATAACTTTTGACGACGCACTCGACGAAGAGAAGCAGCCGCCGAAATTGAAAATCAGAACCCTTCTGAAAGACCACCGAATCGTGCTCGATCTTATCGCTGTGATAGTTTGCTGCCTAATAATAGGATTCAACACTTCTACGCTGGCCCTGTGGATCGAGCGATTCGATCTTTCCATATCCATGAGCTCTCTGATCTTCCTCACGTACGGGATAGTGTACGGCACTTCAAGCTTCATCAATGGACTCATCTCGGAACGATTGGTAAATGTTCCGAGACCGCTGCGGCGGATTATCCGAGATGCGTTCGATTCTAGGATAGATTTTGGTGAGGAGCTCTCCCGAACCTCACACCGATCATTTCAGGAGGACTGCAGGATCCTGGTTCTGATTGGGGGAGTAATTTTTTGTTCCGGAATCTCGCTCCTTGGCCCTCTGCCTTTCTTCCCGATTGAATCGTGAGTACAGAGATGCGCGAGGAGTACTTTGTAATCCCCGGGGGACTTCGATTTAGATTCTCGCTCTCGTTCAAGCTCGCCATGGCTCATAATTCTCGGCCAAGTCCTCATGGGGATCGGTAATGGGGCCATCTACAACCTCAGCTATGTTCACGCTCTGAAATACGTCATGTGAGTTAAGTCCGCCGAAGAAGAATGCCAGCTGTATCTTGACCATACTTCCTCACTCAATTTATATATCGAGTTTGGGAGCATAGCGACGAGAATTCGCGATGAAAAGTGTGTCTTTCCAGAGCCCGCATGAAGTATGCTCCGAATCCCGCGACATATGCTCTCGTAGCATGCCTGTTTTCCACAGGCTTCTTCTTCGGAGCATTCATGGGTCCGATCCTGGGAGGAGTTCTGTTCGATACGGTCGGGTACCGGTTTGCCAGTCTCTTCGTCTTCTCGCTTGTCGTGATTCCGGTGAGCGGTGCATTTGTCGATATCTGACCTCGCTGTCCCGTAGATAGGTGATTCAAACTCGTAATATTCCTTCGAGACGATGAGAGCATCAAGAATGTCCATTAAGGATGCGTTATCTGTGTTTCAGATGCTCCCCATGTATCCCTTAGTGATTCGAGATCACGTTCGTAAAGTCGCACAGAGCTCTCCAGATCCCGCAATCTCAAGAGGCTAACCATATTCAAAGAGAAGATTTCTCAATCATGACTGTATACATGTACATAAGACACCACCATATAAAGTTAGGTTCACTTGATTCATTTAACATTCCATAAATATATGCATCAGACTTCCTCGAGTTTCGTTTCCGGAACTTTTTTCTTCAGAAACCGAGATTGTTATTGTTTTGTAGAGTCTCGTAGTTTTTTGTTGAGCATTGCTGGTCTATCTTGTGGTCCGCCGGATTTGGAGCCAGCTCGTAATTACAAATAGCGATTTCCTGTCGATGTGCCTGGAAAATTGGAAACATCGAACTTTATGCATCTGATTCCCTCCCGTGCGATCAGAGAATCCCCACGCATATCGAGGAATCGCTGACGGCGAGATGGACACCCGTATGTCTCGATCAGAGTTCATGAATTCCGGGAGGCTATTGCAGGATTTCTATCGAGTCGCACCTCTGTGAATTCGCCCTTGAGTCCGATGTACACGATTTTCGTGTTTTCAGCTCCGAAGCTTTTCGGGAAGTGCAGCGTCAAATGATGAACACTAGCGAATTTGACGACTCTGGAAGGAGGAATAAAGTTTGATCGGTTTCTCCTCGATATCTAGAGTAGTGACAGATGTTCTCCTACGATAAGGGGTCAGGAACCGGAGTGTTCATCAAGGAAGTCGTACTTCGTTGGGTACTCGAGCGTTCCATCGAGGTCCTTGTTCAACTCGAACTCTTGGTCTGGTTCGACTGTCACATCGTCGAAAGACATATTTGGTCGATTTTTGTACATTCTCAATGCTGACGGATGGGTGTCACCTTCTCCTCCCACAATTATGATGCCTTTGAGCTTCACGTTTCCGGTGAAAGGTATAGAAAATAGGAGCTCCTCGTCGCAATCCGATTCGACCACCTGCAAGAACAAGATCCTCATGAGACCGGCCACTGTCAGACTTAGCTCTCGGATCGACCAAGGAGCATACGAAGAGCGATTGATGATTATTATGAACGACAGGATCGATGCAGAAACTTATTTTTATTACAAATCGAGTACGAATTCATATAGATAGATTTTGATAATTCGTGACAGAATATCCGTGAGAAAATACGGATCACGCAGCCCGCCCTTTCGCCTTTTCTTTGCCCGATTTCGGCTTGAAGCCCGGATAGCTTGGATATTCGAGGATTGCTTGATGGAGGGGGTTTTTCAGAAAAGTGGGCTTCTTGCTTTTCAGGCCATCCGGCAGCTGGTCCCGAACCAGCTCAATCGCTCCTTCGGCCGTGAGATCTTTGAACACATCCTGAGAAATGCTCTTCAGCAAGATGAACTCGTTCTGAACGGAGACCGCGATCTTAAGGGGGAAATCCTCATCGAGTGTCGGCCATTTCTGTTCCATTACTCCTTTCTTGTCGAATCCAATGTATCTGACTTTTTCGAGAAACCCTGTCCAGAGCTCAGACGCGAAGTGCGGACAGAAGGGTGCTAATGCGATAAGTAGATCGCCCATGGCACGTTCATGCTGAGGTCCAAAATAGAAATCTGGTCCGTGGACGCCACTGCGGAGCGCTTTGGTGAATGTTTGCATCGACCTCAGAACGAGGTGGTATTGCTGTCCGTAATCCATATAGAAGTTCAGCTTATGAACGAAGCTGTTGCGGGCGTCCCTGATCACTTCCTCGTGTTTCTCATCGATACGCTCAGGAGTCATGTCCCTCGATTTCCGGAAAGTGTCGACGGTCATCCACAGTTTACTCTGCCACCCGACTATGCCATCGAACATCGGACTCGGCCATTTGTAGGGAGCCGTCGGTCCGAACCCCGCGAGTATGAACAAGCGAGTAGTGTCGATGCCATGCTGAGCCGTCAGATCTTGCGGGACGATCCCGTTGTGTTTCGATTTGGACATTTTGTCCCATCTCACTTCGACATCTTCTCCTGTGGCGATCTGTTTCGGATTCTTCGGATCACTCAGATCAACTTCGTTCTTCGGCAGGAACTTTCCGGTGGATCTCACGCTGAAGGTCTCGTTCAGAACCATGCCTTGAACGATCATCTTCTTGAATGGCTCCACGAATTTTTCGTTGCCGAGTCCGAGCTCTTTGTGCATGAAGTAGGCCATGAATCGCGCGTAGTACAAATGCATGACGGCGTGTTCTGCTCCACCAATGTAGAAATCCACCGGCAGCATTTTCTTAACGATCGAGCCGTCTGCGATGCATTCGCTATTCTTCGGATCGAGGTACCGCATGTAGTACCAAGAGCTGTCAACGAAAGTGTCCATCGTGTCTGCGTCTCTTTTCGCTGGGCAGCCGCATTTCGGGCAATCGGCACAGAGCCATTCGGAGGCTTCCGAGAGTTTTACTCCTTGAGCCAGCTCGGGCAACCTGACCGGAAGGTCCTCTTCAGGCACGGCCTGTGGTCCGCAAGCGGGGCAATGTATGACGGGTATCGGAGTACCCCAGTACCTTTGGCGGGATATCAACCAGTCTCGGAGGGTTCGGCTGCATTTATGACCGCCGAAACCCTTCATTCTCGCGTACTCAAGGATTTTCTCGCGCGCGTCTCCCTTGGGTCCATTGAATTCGCCGGAATTTACGACGACGTCCCCGCTTGATACTGTATGAAATTCGATTCCTTTATTTCTTGCGAACTCTGCTTCACCTTCGGAACCGCAAGGGATGCCCAAGAAGCTCCGAGTAGACTTCGGGATGGGGAACGATTCATCGTCGACGAAAATTCGCAGAGGCTTCCCATTCACTGGGTTCACGGCTTCAGCCTCCTGTGTTTTGAGACTTTCAGCGAGCTCATGGTCTTGCGACAGGAGTATGAAAGCAGCTCCGCAGAGCCATTCGGCTCGATCGGTCCAAACCTCGATTTCTCTCAGAGGAGTCTGGGATCTCAACTCGAATCTGAACGAAACGCCCTCATTCACATCGCCTATCCAGCCCTTTTGCCTGCCGCTGATCTCATCCCAACCTTCGAGATTATCGAGACCGCGGTACAAATCCTCCGTATACTCGGTCGCTTTGATGAACCACTGATTCAGGAGTTTCTTCTGCACTACGGCACCTGAACGCCAACTTCTGCCTCGAGCGTCAACTTGCTCGTCGGCTACCGTCGTTTTGTCAACGGGATCCCAGTTCACGACGGCTTCCTTCCGGTAGACTAGTCCTTTCTCGAATAACTTCACGAACAAGTATTGCGTCCATTTATAGTAAGACGGGTCACAGGTGGAAATCTCGCGATTCCAATCGAAGCAGAAATTGAAATCTTTGAGTTGTCTCTTCATGCTACTGATGTTATTTTCCGTCCAGGTCCTCGGGTTTTCCCCCCTCTCTATTGCAGCATTCTCAGCTGGGAGACCAAAACTGTCCCATCCGATGGGGAAGAGCACATTCTTACCCCGCATGCTGAGGTATCTTGCCAGAACGTCTCCGATGGTGTACACTCGTATGTGTCCCAGATGTAGATTTCCTGACGGATACGGAAACATGGCAAGCACATAAGCATCATCCCCGCCGGGTCTTGAGATATCGTTGACTTTATCTTTCCAGTAGCTTTCCACATCGTGCTTCACATCGCTCGTGAGATCTGACTTCCAAACACCGGCTCGGTGGTGCAGAGTTCGCGCGAGCCAGCTCGGCCTGCGAGAGAAGCCGAGTATCGTGCTAAACATTCCGGCAGTGGTCGAAATCGTTCATGGATCACTAGGTCTCCGAGGCGTAGGATCGATCCCTCGCATTTCAGAGATCGGAGTTGGGGAATACGGGGCAAGATTTCCTCCGTTCCAAATCATCTGATCCACTGAGCCTCATGTCCGGAGAGATCTACTGCACAACACGAATGGAAGCATTTCCAAGCGATTCGGCCGCAAAACAGTTTTCTCAAACCACAACAAACCAGCGGATCGCCGATGATCGCTGGTTCCTCATGCGAACTCTCGGCCGGGGGCATGGTTGAGATCGGTGGAAAAGCAGTAGAGTATGAAGAGTTGGGGCTGAAGGAAGTCTGTCGACTATACTCGTCTCAAAACTCCGATCACTCATCAGAAAAAAAAATTTTGACTCTCTTCTTGAGCTTACTTACTCTGCTGAAATCAAGTCTCTCATCCCACGGTTTGAACACCGTCTTACCGCTGCCCTCCGCGGCCTCGTTCAAGCACTGAACATTGTCAAGATCGATTTTCGTATACAAAGTGTACTGAACGCCGAGTTCTGGGCCGACGTGGGCATCGTCTCCTCCGTGATCGTGGTGCTGGTGAGCACAATGTCCTCCGTCCGACATCTCTACCTGCACGCCGCGATCTGTGATTCGCTCAAGTCCGAAACCTGGACAATTCGAATTTTGCAGTCGAGGAATACCATAGACTAGAGTGCTGGAGGAAGATGACTAGTTGAGAAACACAATCGAAGACGACGTGTTTGGTGAGGGCGCTGTCATCATATTATTATAGGTACATACGCTGGCGGCGGCGGGACGACGACGACTGGTGGCTACTGCTGTGGCGGTAGCCGGCTGTGCTTCTGCTACACGGTGCGGCCAGCACCACCCGACTGTCTTGTGTGGTGCGCTCGCAGCAGCTGCTCGGACCTTAATTCTTTTGCGTGCGGCGGCTTACCAACTCCGTGTCAAACGGGTGTCTAGAACGCTGCGAGACATCGTTCGGGAAACTCCTGAGAATCCCACGTCCAGGTGAGCGACGACAGTCGATCCGGTACTATGGATGGACTCTCGCGCGCATTCGCCCTGAGAGACACACCGAGTATGTTCCCACGTGGAACCAGATGAGCAACAGCTGGAGCACGAGATAACTCGTTTTCTCGGAGACGAAGTCTAGATATCGGGAGCTCTGCGTGAATCGAAGTTCCGGTAGCACTTCGCAGTTTCTGATTGTTCGGACCTCGAAGGAGCGAAAAAACGTAATATTCTGATGACAGCAGAAATTCGGAAAACCGGCTCCTGGTGATGATATTCGATTGACTGAGTGAGTGAGAATCGATAGGCTCTCCGCGGTCTCAGAACTCGAATGGAGTTTGTCGAAATCCTCTCGCTCCCGTGTAGACTGGAGCCCGGAACCCCATCCTAAGCTGTTGACAGCAAGACAGTCTCTCACATTCCACGAATATGGATCAGTAGATCGCGTCGATATTCATCTAAAAGACCAGGAACTTGTTCCAGAGGGAAAATGGCGGAGCGTAAAGGCACCTTCAAGGTGCGGGAGCTGCAACGGATGGAACTCGAGGTTCAGAAGATTTGGGAAGAACAGAAGATTTTCGAAGAAGATGCCCCGGGTCCCAAGGATCCGAAGCCGCCCAAGTTCTTCGTCACGTTTCCCTACCCGTATGCGAATGGCAGACTTCACCTCGGGCACACTTTCACCCTCGGTAAATGCGAGTTTGCCGTCGGTTATCAAAGACTCAAGGTGAGGAGCAATTAAGATATTGCCTGGATTAGGGGCGCACATTCCTCCATTTCAAAGGGTTCCTCCCCTTAATCATGCACCCCATTCATTCCGACGCCTTCTACGATCCATATCTGTTCCAATCTCAGGGGAAGAAGTGTCTGTATCCGTTCGGATTCCATTGCACAGGCATGCCAATCAAGGCATGTGCCGACAAGTTGGCCCGAGAAATCGAAATGTTCGGGAACCCACCGGATTTCCCTGAGGTCGACGAAGACGCAGCTCTAGGAGACGCCCCGCAAGTGAGCGCCTCGTCCAGGAGGAGCATCAAATATTTCCGAAGCATCCCATGCTTGGCGAATGAGCCACGGGTCTTAAACTATCGAAAGCAATTGAAATGTAGATCGATCCTCATTGTTCAGGTTAAGTCCATCGAGGACCAGCTCAAGTCGAAGGCGAAAGGTAAGAAGAGTAAGGCCGTAGCCAAGGCTGGCACGGCAAAGTATCAATGGCAGATAATGCAGAGCATCGGAGTACCAGACGAAGAAATCGCGAAGTTCGCGGACGCCAAACACTGGTAAGAGTTCTTCTTCGGAAGATGGAGCGCGTTGGAATGAGCAAATTTGGACACCTTATGGAAAGGAATTCTTCCTTGACAGGCTCGGTTATTTCCCTCCGGCGGTTCAGAGCGATCTCAGGAGATTGGGGCTCCGTGTGGATTGGAGGCGATCAATGATCACGACCGATGCCAACCCGTACTACGACTCGTTCGTCCGATGGCAATTCATCAGACTGAAGGAGAAGAATCGAATCAAGTTCGGAAAAAGGTGCGGAAAGTAGACTGGCAATGCGGATCTCGCTCAATCATACCTCTCTTAGACTTGAATTCGTTGCCTCCTGAGCTGCTGAAGGAACCACCATGTTATCCGCACCAGGTACACCATATTTTCGCCGAAGACAAATCAACCGTGCATGGACCATGATCGTCAAAGTGGTGAAGGTGTCGGACCTCAGGAGTACACCCTCGTGAAAATGAAAGTCCAGAAGCCATATCCGAAATCATTGAAGAAGCTCGAGGGTAGGTCACCGGCTTCCATCGAAAACCATCTGTGCCTTCCAATCTCCGTGTAACCTATTCTGAGAAGTTCTCCGTTCAAGGACGTGACGTGTTCCTCGTTGCTGCCACTCTCAGGCCCGAAACGATGTATGGACAAACTAATTGCTGGATCTCACCCGAAATTGAGTATGTAGCTCATGAACTACAGAACGGCGAAGTTTTCGTCTCGACACATCGTGCCGCTCACAATATGAGCTACCAAGGCTTCTGCAAACTCAACGGTCAGGTTGACGTCTTGTTGAAAATTAGAGGCACCGATCTGATGGGTGTCGCCCTAACGGCTCCTCTCACGTCGTACAAAACAATCTACACCTTGCCCATGCTCACCATCAAAGACGATAAGGGAACGGGTGTCGTCACCAGCGTCCCGAGCGATTCGCCGGACGATTTCGCCGCTTTGAGAGATCTCAAAAACAAGGCGCCTCTGAGAGAGAAATACGGTATCAGAGACGAGATGGTCCTTCCTTTCGAACCGATCCCCATCATCGAAGTGCCAGGCTTCGGAAATCTTTCGGCAGTCAAGGCTTGCGAGGATTTGAAAATCCAGAGTCAAAACGACCGTGAAAAACTCGAAGAAGCCAAGGCGATGGTGAGCAGTGTCTCCTTATGGAAAATAGTCTGAGGGAATAACCCCCCGTCCGGAGGAGGATCACGAAGGTTTATCGGGGGAATTAAGGGGAAGTATGTTTCCCGTAGGTTTACCTCAAAGGATTTTACGATGGAGTTCTCTTGGTCGGGGATCATAAAGGCAGCAAGATCCAGGACGTGAAGAAAGATATCCAGGCCTTCCTTGTCGACAGCAAGCAGGCTGTGAACTATAAGGAGCCCGAGAAGAAAGTTGTTGCGCGATCCGGCGAGGAGTGCGTCGTGGCGCTCTGTGATCAATGGTATTTGGACTACGGTAAGCGGAAGCTCCCCATCCGAAGTCAGTCGGAGGGACTCGCGGCCAGCTCGGGATTTCCATCACTCGCATGATTCGTTCCGAGCATAAGCTATTCTTATTTGCTGTCTCATCGAAGGGGAATTATTACTTATGGACGGAGACTCCCGATTTCAGGCGACAAGTCGTGGAAGGAACTAGCGAAGAAGAACCTCGCAATGGCGGAATGCTTCTCCGACGAAGTTCGCAAGAATTTCGAGGCCTCGTTCGATTGGCTGCAGGAACACGCATGTTCCCGAACATATGGCCTGGGAACGAATCTTCCCTGGGACGAGAGCTGGCTCATCGAATCCTTATCGGACTCGACGATCTACATGGCTTATTATACGGTGTGTCATCTGCTCCAAGGAGGCGATATGACAGGTCGACAAGGGAAAAGCCCGCTGGGCATCAAGGCCAGTGACATGACGTTGGAGGTTTGGGATTATATATTCTTCAAGAAGGCGCCCTTCCCGAAATCGACAAAAATTCCGAAGAGATCCCTGGAGAAGCTCAAGCAGGAGTTCGAATATTGGTATCCTTTGGACGTCCGAGTGTCGGGGAAGGATCTCGTCCCGAACCATCTGACCTACGCCATGTTCAACCATACGGCGATGTGGGACGAAGAACCCGACAAGTGGATCCGAGGTATCCGAGCGAATGGACTCTTGCTCCTGAATAGCGAGAAGATGTCGAAGTCCACGGGGAACTTCATGACACTCATGGAATCTATCGAGAAGTTCAGTGCGGACGGGACGCGATTCACTCTCGCGGACGCCGGCGACAGTATCGAGGACGCCAACTTCGTCGAAAGCACCGCGGACGCGGGAATCCTCCGTTTGTTCACGTTCGTCGAATGGGTCAAAGAAATGTTGAAAACGAAAGACGAGCTGAGAACGGGCCCTCGGAACACGTTCGCCGACAAGGCATTCGACAATCGCATGAATTTCCTCGTCACGGAGAGTGCCAAGAGCTACGAAACCTTTTTGTTCAAAGAAGCTCTCAAAAGTGGATTCTTCGAATTCCAAGCCGCTCGGGACGATTATCGCGAGCTTTGCTTACTGAACGGTATGCACAGAGACCTGGTGATGAAGTTCATCGAGACTCAGCTGATCGTTCTATCCCCCATATGTCCTCACGTAGCGGACTATGTCTGGATGATGCTCCTGGGTAAGAAAGAGAGCATCATGCGCGCGACTTGGCCGAGGACCGAACAAGTTGACGAGACCCTCTTGAAGTCATTGGAGTACCTCCGAGACACCAGCCATGAGTTCCGAGTTAGGCTGAAAACCTACATAGCGAGTCTCTCGAAAAGCGACAAGAAAAATCGGCAACCCCCGAACACCGCCAATTTGCCGAAGCTTCTAGTGGCTACAATCTATGTCGCTAGGAGCTATCCCCAGTGGCAGAGCATAATCCTCTCAACGATGAGCGACCTCCACCAACGACACCGAGGCCTCCCTACGAATAAAGTCATTTCTGAAAACCTCACCAACAAACCCGAGTTGAAGAAATACATGAAGAAAGTTATGCCCTTCGCCCAAATGATGCGAGAGAAGGTCGACAAGCTGGGAGCTCAAGCGCTGAAGCAGAGTGTTGATTTCAACGAAATCGACATCCTCACGGAGAACTCCGCGTACCTCTCCAACACATTGGACGTCGTGGGGCTGACCATTAGATACAACGACGGGGCTGACGAGAAAATCAAAGAAGAGTGCTGTCCGGGTGCTCCTCATATTGTGTTCCAGCCGGCTAGCTTCGTCACTCTGAAAGCCGTCTGCCCCCAAGCGCACAACGGGCTCTTCGGGGTGAGCATCCCTCTAGTTGCCGGTGATACTATCACGAGCCTCGAAGATAAAATTCGGAAAACAAGTCGCCTGATCAAAGAGGGTCACAAGGTGAGTAAGCTCCGCAAAACTCATGATGGTGTGTAATTTGGATACAATAACGATCGAGAAACGAATGATCACAACTGGAACATTACTCTGAAAGGCATCTCAATCGTTCTCCAGATAAATTTGTATCGCTTCGATGATCCGCTCATGGGACCGAGAAGAATTCCTGTCCTCGGTAAGTTACTCGACGGAAAAACCCTGATTCCCGAGAGTGCATCGTTGACCGTGGACGTCGATAACGAGAATATCACCGTCACGGATAACGGGAGGACGTTCGATCTTGGGGGGCGAATTCTGTACATGGTTGAGGAATAAAGAATCGCGCGCGATTTTCTCTCTCAGTGACTCACGGTGCATTACTGGAATGAGGGAGAATTTCCCTAGGGCTCTGAAGGTATAGGGCGGAGGGCACAGGTTGAGGCGATCAAAATCCGAGATGCTCGTTGTATTATTGAGGGCCTTCACCGTTTTCGAGTCCATGCCAACAATTAGTCGAGCAACCGGTCCTCCTGGGTATCTCTGTGCAATCAGCTCAGGGAATCAGTGAATGTCCGACCCCCGTCATGGTTTGGTCCTCACCGTGAGGCTCGTTTACGCACTTCGCTGTTGCACCTCTTCGCACATTCGCTTGGTCGGGAGTGCCTCCTCCTCTGCGATCGGGCTAGATCGAAAGTCCGCCGTGAGTCGCGTCCGAGTGGAGGTGACTTCCAATTATTTGGCCTTGGTGCATCACGCAGCGAGGCAGAGGAATACGCAGGAGACGATGTTCGAAGCCGTGATCGGGGCTCGGTTGTCTTGTTCGACCGTGCTTCGGAACCCGGCCCTTCTGAGCCATGGAGTCCCATGGCTTGTAGGGGATAAGGAGGCCGCCCGGAATCTCCCACGGTCTTAGCAAAGATCATCGTCATCATTGAGCTCTCTCGTTAACAGAATCCATTTCTGTAAGTTTTTAACGCCTATTGTGTTAATACCTATGATCCCCCCGTCAAGATATCCCTTTGCCGCCTCAATCACTCGGTCTACCGGAAAAATTAGCTCGCCGTGATATCATGGAGCTTAGAGGTTGAGTTTCGCGTCAAGTGGCGCCCATTCTCCAAGCTTTGGAGCTGCGAGAGGAATGGGGTGGACGACGACGACAACTGCCGCCGCCACCACCGCTGCCGCAACCACCACTGCCACCGCCGTTGGTGTTGCTACTGCTGCTGCCGCCGCCGCCGCTGCATAGACTACTACCACCACAGAAACACACACTGCCAGGGAGGCAGACCAACAGACACACAGTGCGAGCGAGCGAGAGCCCTATTTGAATGAGTGAAGCAACAAGTGTCGTCGCTGTTGTTGCGGGTGTAGCTAATCGGCTCGAACTCTCGAATCGCCGCATTCGATCTGTGGAGTTGAAAATAACTTGGAGTCTCAGCTTCGGAGTATAGTGTCCGTTGAAGTTCAGGTTCTTCGGTCGATAGGTCGCTCGCTCGCTTGTCTGCCCGCTAGTTGGCTGGCTCGTTCGCAGAGAGGCAGTGAGCTGCATATCTGACTTGTTCGATTGTAGTGTGATATGAGAAATGTGTGGATCTCGGCTCCCATTATGAGTGTGCATTAAGATGTGCGTAGAACCCGGGAGCGACACGATTGTCAACAATTACTGGATTGATGTGACTGCCAAGTGAGTAGCTGGACACCTGCAAGTGACTTCCACAGCATGGGCTGATCGCTGGTGACGCTTTCGCGAAGTGACACTCGGTTACATGGTTAGAGAACGAAGATTGAAGTGACCCGCGAAGACTCTGATCCATCGCTCTGGGCACTAGAGTCGACGATCATCAGAGCGACAAGTAGGAGTCGAAATCTCGTTTTGAGTCGAGATTCGATGCAGTGTCTGCACATTGTTGATCTGCCTCGACTACGATGGCCGTGTCTTCCGAGTGCAAATCATGTAGGTCTCAATCAGACACGACATCGCGTTCCCGAAAAGGTGTCGAGTCTTCCAGACGAAGAGCTGCGAAAGAGCGAATCCGATAGTCTTGCTCGGATTTACTCCCCCTATGACGCGTTCCACGAGATGCTGGCTCTCGACCAGTTTGAATCCAATGATAAATTGCGAACCTTAATCTAGCCTGCTTTGAATCCGGCTTACCCCCTTCGATGACCTCTCCGGATGTCTCCATCCTCGGAACACTTGACGTTGCTCTCCTAAGCCAGTCTCTATGACTGCTGTCATTGGTATTCTCAGCGAACATCGATCTCTGGAGGAAGACTGGTTCCGGGAGACAGTGCATATGATTTCGTGGAAGCTCGAACAGCTTGCGAGACTTTTTTTTATTCCGGATCCCCGATACTGAAACAATAACTCGCTTAGACTTGCTCTACGTCTCTACGTTGAGGACAACTAGACGCACTATCTTCATTCCATAAATATTTGCTCTGGCGGAAAACATCCAAACAGAAAATTCTATCGGAAATGAATGTTCCAGCATTCCGCGCAGTTTTCATGCAGGCGTCGTCGCAGAGCTTGGAAAAGAATCTCGGATGTAATTCTATATGAGCACAAATGATGACATCAGTGGGAGGCTCCGTCGGTTTCGTCCAAGTTCGATTGGAATAAACTTGAAACTTCATGCGGTCTGCGGCATGCTTCTTCCGATGAATGCGAAACCGTCCCGATCCCTTATCTCCTCCACTGCATCTCATTGACGATGGAACACGGAAAAGCATCGTCCATTTTCCTCCTACGATGTGGTCCCTCATGGTCAGCGATATTCCGCGGGAGGGATATGTCGCTCACTTGGATTTTCCGATTCGGTGTAGAATACACGGGCGCTAGTCGCGACAAGAGGATCGAGAACCGAACGATTGCGTCTCCTGAGCTAATGATGGGATCCTGGTGGTCAAGTCTCCTGGGGGGGAGTTGGACATTTCGACTTTGCGGCCGCTGATCAGATTCGGGACGGCTATCTCTATGTTGTGCTCGAGAGAGCCATTTGTGAGGTTGCAACCTTGTGTGTACATACATCGGTACGGATGATGTGGAGACTGAATTTCTCTGCCCGGGTTCCGACCTTGGTTTCATGATTGGTTCTCTGAGCGCTACAACGATGCTGTTTTCCGAAGGTGCGGTTCGCCATTCAACGAACGTCAGTTCGACAGTCAGACGCTCACTCCGGCAGCTGGATGGCCATTCCTACCTAATTTGTCTTTGCTCGAAAGTCTGACATACGAAACGACCCAACCGCGAATGAAAGGATCTCTCGCTATCGGGCTGCTATCCGATCACGAGACCAGTACTTGTCACGGTCATAATCATAACTGTATCGCTCGCCCAGGCAATCTCGAAACAATTGATCAAAGACAACGCTACATATATATCTGTCACGACTTAAATTCAGGAACGCCGATCTCGTCCGACCTCTACGGTCTGAATGAAAATCGAATAATCGGAGTCATGGTTGTACCTGGGCTCAAGAATCGGCGGAGAGATCAAGGGGCCGTCTTTCGAGAGTTCTTTGAAGATTCTATCTGAAGACTGAATACGAGACTCGGGATGAGAATCCGGTGTTATTCGAGTTTCGTCTCGATGGTTACGAGCTCACAGTGATACTGTTCACTTACAGGTGCAGGCGGCAGCGATGAGTGCCAACAAAGTGTCTGAAGCATTGGTAAGTGCGAGAAGTGTTGTGCCCGCCTTGCTCCAATTATCTTGATTGGGCGCATAGACATATCTCTATAACGGCAGCTCGGAGAGGGCTGAAGAGAAATCTTAAAAAGCCTTTGCTAAGGATCAAGCATCCATAGACAGCTTTGATTCGAGAACAATATCCGTGATTATTCACACTGGCCAGTCCTGAAGGTCGTGTTCGTTGTCATGAAACCTTACTATAATATGATCTGAGTGAGCTAGATGCTTCTTTTGAAACGATCGCTGCGAGCCCTTGTTCGGAGGGAATGGAATTTTTCATCCGTTCGAATCCTTGTAAGAGAGGAAATACATCTACGTGCTCGCGCGCTCCGAGAGCCGGCAAATAAGATTCATTGAAGCCAACTATCTGAGTCTACCCAACGGTTCCCGGAGTCCTTCGATGTTCTCGACATCGGAAGCGGCTTGTATGGGTAGGTTGGCCGGACGGCAAGGAACGGAGCATAGACTTTGCATAAGCTGGCGTTACTTCATTCAAGAACACGTTCTACTCCGAGCTGTCGATTTTGTCTCGCCGTCGAGCGTGCTCTGCATTTGAGCTCTTTGTAGAGCTGAAGGAGCGGAATCATTTGAATGTTGATTTCGAAGCAAGATGAATGGCAGCTGGTCTATTTGAATGTGTTGGAAGTCTGACCGATCGAGGGCTGCTGAAAATCAGTCGGCGCTTCATTCAATGTCAAGCATCAGCGAATGGTCCCACCCCGCCTCGTATTCTCGTATTCTCCTCAGGGAACGCTTTTCTGCTCGTCCAGAACAATCCCTGATCGCATGTGATATCCCTTGAAGTCGGTCTCGATTTCTCTCCGGGAGATCAGCCGGACCCGAGTACCTGGCTGCAGTGGACGATCCGGAAACTCCGACAGCACCTGAACGATCCCTTCCTCAGACGGCTCGACGAAGCTGATCGCACGCGCAGAATCCTCCCCGGTGTGGCTCCGCAGCTGTGACTTGGAGCGTTAGTCATTCGGAGGCAATGATCGATATTCAGTTATTTTCCGTATAACGGAATCATTGGTGCTCGTTCTGGAAATTCCAGCGGAACCCATCGTCAGATGGACTTTCTGAGCGGAGGACAGCGGTGAATGTCAGGAGACTTGAATCGAGCGAGCTTGGTCAGTGACTGTTGACCGGACAGTAAATCTAAGCAGCCAATTTTGAGTCCCCCGTTTCCCTGCGGGTCGACCACGCTTAGTCCATTGTGTCTATGACGAGATCCTCACAATTCGAGCCATTATTCCGCTCTGCGCCTCTTAGTTTTATCGCTGGCAAGCCCGTGAAGTTGACCGTCCGGTTTCCCGCCTCGCTAGCGATGTGGTCAGCGATTAAGAGTCGACTCAATTTTTTTGTTTCCGGAGCATCGGAGCTCCAAGGATATCGAACATGGTCATCCACGGGGAAACCTTCTCAACCACACCAGTGGTTGGCTCTGTCGGTGGACTTCCTAGGCGACCATCGGAGATCATCTGTCCAACCGCGGATACGGGCTCTCAATTACGAAATCGGCTATCCATCATGAGTCCGCGATGATCCATTCGCGTGCCTCTGGATCGCTCGTCGTGGTCACTCTGGCTCCCTCCCTCCATAATCATGAAGCTGTAATTCTGGAACGATGCTCTTGACATTATCCTCTCTTGAACTCGACGACATTGAGAACACTTAACGTGACACTTCACCGAGAGTTGAGGCTCCGAGCATTCGCTGAATCGTGATTTGAGCCCTCGTTGTATCCATGTCTGAGCGATTGTTGCTTGGTAATCTCAGTCGACGCCGCGCGCGATTTACCCGGTGAGGCGTGATATACGAGGATTTCGGGAGGAGAAACAGCGAATGGAAAGCAAAACACTTCTCGGGGTTCGGAAAACGCTCGGATCCGCTAGTCGTTCGTTATGGGCAGACAGAAAGGGGATTGGCGCTTAGCTGAATCTCCCGCACAGACGAATGGCGGTTGTCGAGCTCACGCTTTTCTTCCAGAAGTATTGAAGGAGTGACGTCTGTTACCGCGGCTAGGATTGACTTCTCGCCATCTGTGGTTCGACGTTTGAAAGCGTTCGCTGCCGTTTCTGTCTTGGATGCAGAGAAGCAGAATCCCAAGTGTTGGGATGGATCTCGCACGCGGCTTCGGGACATTCTGTGCGAGCAAGAAAAATGCTCGAGTTGTTGGGCTTTTCTAAACTAGGAATTACCTTTCCGGCGCGAAGAACCTTGATGGGGCGCGCGAAGAAGAACCGTCTACGACTACTTGACGATAAAACGTGGAAACTTCCTTAAATAAAGTTATTTTTCCTTTTTTTCTTCCGTGGTAGCGGTGAGAACTCGGAAGGAAGGGATCGCTTCCAAGTCAAATAATTCATCGGTAAAGCGGCGTGAATTCGATCGCCTAAGGTGCCTTCACGGCGGTGGGGGTTCCCCCAGTCTCGAGGAACTCTCTCGATTCTCGAGTGTCATCATCGAGATTCACCTTCATCGATCGATGATTGTAGCACGTCCCCCATTTTTGGAGTTCTCTTCGCCATTCGAAGATTCTCAGAAGCCCTTCCTGCGAATGGATGAGCTCCTGTCCGCATCGACTTCTGTTGTCGCGGAGGTTTGGGGAGGTCTCCTGCATTTCGCGCGCCTCGATCGAAACTGCAGATAAGTGTGACCTTTGCGTCGCTCTCACGAGTGCGCTCCTCTCAAGTTCCCCCTGCCACGGCGGGCGGAGGTTTACTGTGTGGCCACTGACTATGTATCCGGCTTGCCGGTTGACTGGCAACATGTCGGCCCGATTGACCGACTCGCTTAGAGTCAGTCCGCCTACTGAACTGACTCTCGGATGCCTGATGAGTCATAACGACGACGCGACGTTGCGTTGTCGGCAAACGTTCATTCTTCCCATCCGTGGGAGAGGGCGAGCGTCGCGTTCGGAGAGAGATCTAGGCACAACGATCCGTTGAACGCTCAAGCCCCACATGGGTTGACACGACTGCGCCGATGGCGCGTTCAGTGAATCCTTTCCCTGTTTTCATCGAGCAGAGCGAAATTCTCAACGGAAACCATCGTTCCTCCACCGGATTATTTCTTGCCCAGTCCATCCTCATTGCTTCGGAAACTGAGCGTTGAAAGTGCTGTCCTAGTGATGTTGCAACTGTCCTACAAGAAACGTGCTGACTTCGAACGGATATCTGGACAAAAGTGCCGCGGAGATTAAGTGACCTCTCGACGTTGGACAGTATTCACCCCAGCACGATGGTCATCAAAGTTAGCAAGGTACGAGTCGTTGAAAAGCTTGGATATCATCCTCGACCCGAGCTCTTTCGGTTCCGCGCGTCGGAGTCGGGGACGAGCGGGTGAATCAGAAAATTCCCGACAGACGGGTTATCGCATGGATTATGCCGTCGGAATGGTGCTGTATTTTACAATTCCCGTACTGCACACACTATCAGTCTCACGTAGAAAATCGCGACCTCGTTCTGCTACCAGTGGTCATAGCTGACACCCAGATGCAAATTTGGAATTCGCTTGCGACCCTTTTCGCCTGCGTGGGCCCTTGGAAGTCCTAATCAACATTCATGGCTGCTTCAGTGAACGATGCTGTGAGGCTAGTGGGGGATGCGACAATATTGAATGTCGTCTACCATAACATTTGATTCGATGAATTTATCGAGTGACTGATCCCAACATCAATCCGACTCTACTCACCCCATCCCTCCAATGGAAGACAGGAGTTCCCAGTTCCGACGCTTGCTCAGGAGGATCTAGAAGCTTCGGGAGCTATGGGTTTCCCGACTACGCTGATTGGAAATATCTCTAGAGCTCCCTCGATCCAGCAGAGGAATGCGGCGCGAAATTCACCTTTGGTAAGGCGCTCCGCTCCATCGGATTGCAGCCCCTTTGTTCGGGGCTGTCGAAATGGATGTTCTTGTCAATGGAATGAATCGAGCTCCCAGCTTGCCTTGGGCGACGCTTTCGTACGTCTGTTTCTGTCCCGAAAGCTCCGTTGACGAGAGAAACTGGCGTCGATCGAGCGTCTCCTGTGTACACCATCACAAGCATCGTTGTGGAGGGTCCGAGCAATCACTCGAGGTTCATTCCGTACCCGACCTTTCCTCGCGAGTTTTCGGGGAACAAACTTGAGCATACAGAAGAATAGAAAACAAAGGAGTATATTCTCAGCTCAGTGCTAAGCTGCGGTCCCGAATGAGTCGCGGATGTGAGACGAGAACAAAGAGCTTCAGAAGAAGAATGTCTTCTTGACCCTTCAGAAGTGCTTGACCAGCACATAAGATTATCGAATGCGGCATAAAGCTCCTCATACCCCATATTCGATTTAAACTCGGACCTTGCTCGGCCTTGCGAAGGCGCCGAGAATTCGAGGAGATCAAACCCGCCAGGCGTAGGGTCAATATTCAAAACGTAGGGTCTGAGGGGAACTGAGTGAGACCTATGAAATTCGTCTCATCTGATGGCGATCCCCATGGAAAAAAGTCGAAACGGTTAGGAGAGAATCTTGGGTTGAAGAAAGGACTCTGTTCCTCGCCATGACGGGACACCGCCCGTCGTTAGATGACATATTGCCCTCCTGATCTTGGCGGGATGAATCCCGCATTCCGCGGACTTGATTTCGAAAGAAATGTACGTATACGTTGTGAATGGATGAGTCTTCGCAGCATTCATCGGTGATGCGTCCTGTTGACCACCGGTCTGATGTTCCTCGCTCTCGAACAACTGCGAGTACTTCGCAGAAATCTTCAACAGTGAATGAAACATTGCTCGGAGCCGCAGTCGCTCGACCCTCTGAAAAAAACTAAATATTCCCATCTGGTCCTTTGATCTATGCCGCCATCGGGTCAGGAGATTCAATTTTTCCACATTCGGAGTCGGACCGATACACTATCGAAGCGCCGCGCCGTTGAGCCGGGATTCGTCACAGGATTCTCGGCCACAGGATTTTCTCTTATGTGGAAAAAACGTTCAGAGACGGGAAGCCGGAAAATGAGCTACGATACCAACCGATAACTTATAGAAAAAGATTTTCCGCTGAGATCCACTGCAGCAAACGATGTTCTGGCTGCCAGGCAACGCCGAGACATATTTCTGGTTTCATGGCAGAATTTCGTGGCTGTTTTCGAAAGGACAGAGCTCAGCAAGCGTACCCAGCATGTGGATGACATCAGCGGTCGGCGGTGTCGGTTTTGGCCGATTCAACCGAAAGTGATCGGTTATTCAGCGCTTGTTTTTACCACCGAGCCGATGGTTCTGGTTCACTTGATGCGGCTCCACTGTGACTTCGATCCACCGGTTCCGGTAGCCCCTGCCATTGGACCGCAGCTACGGAGGCATTCCTCGCTTCTTAAGTGGCTTGTTTGAGGCCCAAAGGGGTTCCCCGATCGGCACCGGCAACGAAAACGCCAAAATCGTTACATCGGAGCTCGCACAAGTCGGGAGCTGCGCGACATCCTCCCTCCTGCTGGCGTATGTGCACATGCAATTCCTCCGTCCGGTTGAGTGGTGTCCCTATAAGAATGGTATCGATTATGTGTGCACCTTTCGGGACACAATGATACACGGAATACGCGGTAAATTCATGACTTTGGAAGCTAATTAGGGCTTTCGATCTCGTTGGAGTTCTATCTCTTCCTCCCGGACTCTGTCCCGATACTTCGTTCTAAATCAATTTCGGATGGGTAAATTAGCCTCCGGCGCGCACAGCAACGTCGCGGAGTCGAAGCTCGCTGTTCGCTCCAGCGTTCGCGAAACGACTCCGTCCCCGCCTCGTTGAGAGGAAGCTCTAGAAGCTAAGCAGGATCGTCACGCGGTGAAATTGCGCTAATTTTATTGATACAGTCTAAAATAGGGCGAAGTCGCAACGACCGGTTCTCGCCATCTCTTGCGATCCTTCAATTCTAGAACAAGGATTGAAAGTGAAGGGCTTGAGCTCTACGTCGCCTATGCCATGACGCAGGTGAGGTCGACTAGACCTCGAGCGCATTTAGACTACACCCGACAACATAACTGTCGAGACCTTCGACGCTGAGAATAATTATTGACTGCACAACTCAACTCGGCCCGGATCCGAACGTTTTCCGGTCGCTCGCCGTGGCGAGCGAGCCACATTGACGCCGTCAATTCTTTGGTGCTCATCGTCAATTGCGTGTCGGCTCAGGGATATTCGAGCATCCAGAGTTCCGCGCGTAGGGCTCGGGATCTGAAGTCTGTACCCATGCTGTCCTTGGCTTTTTGTTTCCTTCTTAGATTGGATTTGCGTGCGGTGCTTCACGTTGGGAACTGTCGTAAATTTCCAGATGACACGGTAATTCCTTTGGGGGACATCTGGGACATCTACGACGAGGCGAATACGCTCGAGAAGTTTCATGCAGTTCATGGGTGAGACTCATTATTCGGATTGTCGAGCACTCCTCCTCCGTCTACTAATTAATTCCACCGCTTCTTCTCTCCCGGGGCTCTGATTTTCCGAAGAAAATTCCTGTGGAAAATATCAAATGGGTGGTCTGAGCTATGGTCGCCATCGTTGCCGCTGCTGACTGAAAGAAGGAGAGAACGGAGCTAATCTTTCGAGATGGTCGATGGGTTCGGGTCAGTCACTGACCTCTGCTGTCTTCCGGTGAATCAGGTATCCGCCACGTCTGCGGCAAGCGAAAATTCGAGGCCTCAAAAAAGATTCCAACTAATTGTTTCTGAGACGCAACGTCCATCATTCATCCCGACCTATTCCCGTCGTCCGATGAATGGACTCAATGGGTAGAGGATCTACCGATTACCTGCTCACCGCATAATGGCCTCATTCGATTATTCAAATACGGCGCACGATAATTTATAAGACTCACCGCGCTGTAGGGGTCGCACGGCTGAGCGACGCATCAAATGTTGCATTCCTCCGGCTTCAGATTCCAGAAGAACGATATATTTAATTATTATCTCGATCTTGATGATAAATATTTCCAAACTATCTAGTTGACCATTCGGGACAACGATTCGCCGAATCTCGGAATTGGAAGCGTTTGTGGTGGACGAATCCAGAAATCCTGAGCTTCTATGTGGCTTCAGCACTGATGGCAAGGGTGAACCTGAGCATCCTTGAGCTATAGTCGACGAATTCTACAAAATTAGAGAAGGATCTGACTTTAGAGTGAATTCGCGATGTTGACTTTTTTCCTGTCTTGCAGTATAATCCCATCAGCAGCTATTTCACTCGAAGTGCGTTTCGAACAAGGGAAAAATTCTTCCGTATACCGGGCACTTCCTCTTCATACTCTTACCGGAGTCTTTCATTCCAGTTCGACATGTTCGGCACGAAGAAGAGCAAGAAGGGGGGCGGGGGCAACCTCAACTCGACGAAGGCCCCGTTATCCCTTCAGGGCTCGATACCTTCGATAGGATCTCAGGATGATGTCAACGGTAACAGCGTGCTCACCACGCAGCAGATGCTCGATAGCCTCGATGATTCCGAAATCGATCGTCTCTTCCGTGAGATGATGGTGAGTGCTTGGGAGATCAGTCGAAAGTCAGGAAGCGAGATTCCCGCAGCTTTTCGGAAGCATAATCAGACTCAATGAATGTATGGCTCTTTGTGGCTAGGTTCCCCCCACGGATCCTGATCCGCGGATCCGGACACGAGAGAGTGGCAAAGTCCTCGCGAATCTATCAGGCTAGACTCGCTGACTACATGCACGCGTTTGAACGTTCATATCTTGGGAAAAGATGTGGAATATATGAACGTGAATATTTGTGCCACGGCGGTATCCTGCGTACGCTAGCCATAAAAGATTGCGGGGATGGATGAATGAATTCTTAGGATCCTCTGAATAGAAAAAGGCTAGAGTGCTAGAGAACTTGATCACAGCTTGCCGTGGCGGCACATCTGATGCGGGGGACTCCGTAAGGTTCATTCGCTGAGGACGAGCCTCCGGTGGGGATCTGAAGGAAGCAATCAGCTTCCCTTCCGTCGCAGATGAAAGCTGGAGAATCGCGGCATTACGTTCCTGAGAAAATATTTTGTTCCCGTAAAGAAATTCGCGCCGGGGGAACGCTGTGCATCATTGTTGCGTTGCTTCGGAAATAATTAAATTCCGTTCACGTTCCCTTCGCCTGGGCTTGACTCGCCTCATTCCCACGTTGATGCCTCATTTCGTTTTGAAGATTTCGTTGGCATAGCTCTTGTGATGTGCGGCGATATTATATCCGTTGATTTATAAACAGGGAAATCCAGTCCCGTGCCTCCCTCGAGTCGGTAATGATCTCCGGAAGTCTGGAAGACCAGTGCCGGCTTGAATCGTTTGCGAGAAGACCATCCATCGTCTCGTTTTGGATTCTTCCCCTACTGGGCATCGCAGCATTCTTCGTCGCTCGAAGTCCTGCTCTGACGTTCGAATTTTTCGAAATATAGAATCTCTCTGTCAATTTCGGCAATCCCCCACCATGCTCGGACTTTGACATCAGTGTCATGACTGTCAGAGATGAGAGAAGAGTGGCCCGTATGATGTTTTGAAATGATGTTTCGAAGCCGACAGGTATCAACTTCGTATATCTTCCCGTGATCTTCCCTTGAACTAGAGATATCGCCGGAAATCTAGGGCACACGTTTCCCGCCCTTGAAACCATTCGAAGTTGCTCCGAATGATCGAATAATTCTTCCACCGTCGATGCGAGTGGAAATTTCCACATCGAGCTGTCTTCAGCGCCGAAAACGTTGCTCCGGTGCTTCCTTTCGATTCTAAAGCTCTCCCGATTCCGCTTCGACTCCGGTTTTCGGTGCGGAGAATTCTCCTGAGGGAGTTTTCTTGCAAATTGGATGGCTGTCAATAAGTCAAACAATAGTAGTGAATCGGAGGAATTCTAGATGAAGCTCTCTCGGTGACATCAAATGAGCTAGAGGAGAAAAACAGAAGAATTAAAATGACCCCCTCCCCAAACATGAGCGTGGAGCGCTACGAAATCTATCTCATGCGAAGATCGGTCCCGTGATTATTTGAGAATTCCCCTCCAGGTGGACATGAACGTACAACAAATGGATAAAGTGCTACAAAAATCAATCCAAGAAAAACGAATGATGCTCTACATGCGGGAAACGACGGATACAACGGTGAGTTTTCGCAAATCCATGTATCTTTCGAGCAACCTACGGGGCGTCACACATAGCGATGAGCCCTTGAATGCCTGCGGTACCGTCTCGCATATGATTTCAATTCGACTCGATATATTTCAGCGAGGGAAGCTGGAGACCCCAGCCATGTTCGTTCAGTGTCTCCGCAGCGATGCGAACTCGGAAAAGTTGTTGAAAAACTGTGAAAGCTTGAGGATAGCTCTGACGAGCAAGACTGTGTCGTGGGTGAAAGAGTTCATCGACAAAGGCGGAATCGATGTCCTGCTCAATCTACTTAAGAAAGTTAAACCAAAGTAAGAGGAATTTCTCCGCCGTCAGAATTTGATCAAGATGAGTCGATTCTGAGGAATGCGTACTGAACTCGAAAACTTTGCAGTAAGAAACTGAATGAGAAGATAGAATTGGAACTCATCAAGTGTTTCCGGGCCGCTTTGAACATCGGCGTAAGTTCGCTGTTATGAGTAGTAGCCGAGAGTGATATCAATTATTACCAGTCATATGGTCGTAAATGAATTTGACGGATCGAGGGTTACCTTCTTCCCACGGTGGGATTTCCACTGGATGGTGTCATGAAGTCAGGTTTCTTAAGAGATCCCTGTCACTTTACAGCACGGCGTCAAACACGTACAAGCTCACCAAACGGCTCTCCAAGTTGTGTGCAGCAGCCTCCGGCCGGATCGCGCATCTGTGATGTTGGAAGCCGCCAAAGTTATCGCTCCGATTTGCCTTATTGATGGGGGTCATGCGTCGGTTTTGAAAGCGCTGACACTGGCCGCCGAACAGGACGGGACCGAGAGATTTCGCGCTATCGTGCAAGGTCTAGAAACAGACAACGATCAGCTGAAGACGGCATGCATGCAAATCGTCAACGGTATCCTAGACGTGGACGATTACGATTTTCGAGTTCATCTGCGGAACGAGTTCATGCGCTCGGGCATGTTGCGGATCTACGAGAAACTCCAGACTGAAGAGGAGCTGTCCAAAGAGTTTGGTTGTCAGTTCGATGTGTTCAAGAACGCGCTCGAAGACGATTTCGATGAGCTGACCCAGAAGCTTGAGACCATCTCGCAAGATTTCTACGATTTGACGGAATGCTTCGAGATGATCAAAGCTAGTATCACCAACACCCCGGCTCAGTCAGCATTGCTGTCAATCTTGCAGCACATGCTGTTGATACGGGAAGATGCGCAAATTCGGTAAGGAATCCGCACGAATGGGGGGAGGGGGCTCAGTGAACGCATTTAGAGACATCGCTGGGGCTGCATCGCGAACACGTGCACTGACATTTCTCCCGAATGAATTTCCAGCGCTGCCTACTACAAACTCATAGAAGGATGCATAGCTCAGATCACGCTGCATCGAAACGGTGTCGATCCGGACTTTGCCTACACGCAGAAATTCAACATCCAAGTGGACGAGATAGTGGAACGCATCAAAGGACATTCGTCGATGGAGGACATAAATGTAGATGCTCTCCAAAATCGATTGGAAGAAGCGCTCACCCAGAAACAAGAAATGGAAGCGAAGTTGGCCAATTACGAAGCCAAACTGGGCCAGATTGGTACCCAAGGATCTCCTACGAAAGCTCTCAATGTGCCAGCAGGTCTATTGATAGGTCAAGGCTTGAAACCTCCGTCGGGCTCGGGTGTACCTCCGCCCCCGCCTCCTCCTATGCCTGGTAAGGTTCAAGAGTCGGAATTTCGTGCATACGGAGATATGAATGAGGGATCTCGAAATCACGAGCGGTTTGCTGAAATGATTTCTTCCCGCTAGGCTCGAACGTACCCGCCCCTCCCCCATGCCAAGAATGGGCGTTCCCGCTCCCCCTCCGATGCCGGGGAGTGGAGTTCCCCCACCTCCTCCACCGCCAATGCCCGGGATGGGCATCCCTCTCGCACCGCCTATGCCAGGAGTCAGGGGACCACCCCCTCCCCCACCTATGCCAGGTGAAATATCCGCGCTCTATCATATAATTCCTTTCGATGCTCTGTGTGGTAGCCTTTGCACAACATTTCCGAGTACTCATGATGGGGAGCCTATTTGACAGGTATGGGAGGTCCTCCGCCGCCCCCGCCGCCACCAGGAATGATGATGGCGCCTCCTGGGATGCCTTCTGCTGCCGCAAGCCTCGCTCTGCCCTTCGGCATGAAGCCCAAGAAACAGTTTGAAGTTCACGGAACACTAAAGCGAGCGAATTGGAAAAAAGTAAATCCCACGCAAGTCACAGCCAACTCCTTCTGGGTCAAGGTCGACGAAGGAAAATTGGCCACCGATTCCCTGGTCGAGCAGCTGACCTCTAAATTCGCCACACAACCACCTAAAAAAGAGCTCAAGAAAGAGGATACTGCCGGCCATAACGGACACAGCAAGAAAAGCGCAAAGGAACTCAAGGTCATCGATGCCAAAGCCGCTCAAAATCTGAGTAAGTTCGGTTCGAAACTCCTAAATGCTCAGTATAATAACAACAGCTCAGTGCTTGATGGATAGGGTTGCGTGTGCTACTGACACCTCCGTGAAATCATGAGAATTAGATAATTAGATTGTATAAATCGCGTGTGCTTTCAGTGATCATGCAAGGTTCTCTGAAAATGTCGGCTGATGACATCAAGACATGTCTGCTCGAGGTGGACGAAAAGCGTCTCGATGAGAACATGTTGAATCAGCTCATAAAATACATGCCGACCCAAGATTCGTTGAATAAGCTCGCGAACCTCAAGGAGGACTACAGCGAACTCCACGACGCTGAGCAATTCGCGCTGTCTCTGGGCTCGATCAAACGACTTCATCCGCGTCTGAATTCGATTGCTTTCAAGCTGCGTTTCCAAGAGATGGTCGGCGACATAAAGCCGATGGTGGTCGGAGCAACGGCGGCCTGCGAAGAAGTCAAAAGTAGTCGGAAATTCGCCAAAGTACTCGAGATCGTCCTGCTTTGCGGTGAGTGCGCGAATCGTCAGGTGGTTCCATAACTTCGCTTGCGAGGTAACATACACGCTCGAGATGTCGGAAATTAACGATTCGCAACATGTTGATCGCAGGCAACATCTTGAACACCGGTACGAGAAACGCGCAGTCGATCGGATTCGACATCAGCTTCCTGCCCTCGCTCGGCAACACGAAAACTGTCGATCAGAAGTCTACTCTGATACACTTCCTGGCGGAATTCATCGAGAAGAACGATCCCGATACGCTCGCCTTCGGGGACGAGTTATCTTACGCTGAAAGGGCCTCGAAAGTGAACGTAGAGCAGGTCGAAAAGAATCTCAACACTATGAAACGGTGAGTCCTGGCGGAATAATCTATCTTGAATGAAATTGGCCGTAAATCGGTAGCCGTTCTCCGTCTAGGGGCATGCGCATGACTGGGTCTGCCCTTTCCAGGTCATTGGAAGACTTGAAGACCGATCTGAAGAACTTCCGGGCTCAAGGAGAGAATGATCGTTTCGGGGAGATTATGCATCCATTCTACGAGCAGGCTCAGCAGACTTATGAAGTCCTACGTGGCATGTTCACGAAAATGGTGAAGCTGTACGAGTCGCTGGCGGAATATTACGCGTTCGACATGAAGAAGTACACCCTGGAGGAGTTTTTCACCGATATCAGCACTTTCATCAAGCAATTTGATATGGCCTATGCTGAGAACCAGAGAAGTCGAGAGCTCGAGGAGAAACGTCGATTGGAGAAGCAGAAGAGAGAGAAAGCGGATCAAGACAGACGGGAACGCCAGGAGGCACGCCGGAAACTGCTCACGGTCACCGGCGACCAAGAGGGAGTCATGGATAACCTCCTCGAGGCGCTCAGCTCGGGAACAATCTTCAATAACAATAACAAGGCGCGGCGGAAACAGGCCCGTAGTACGAATCCTGGTGAGTGCACCGATTTTCCGATCTGCGCATTATGACTGATGTGGATATCACAAGCTGCTTAGAACCGGTGATATCCGATTTTAAATTCCTTTGGAAGCACTGCTGGTGCGATCCAATCGTCTCTTTCGTACTTCGATCTCCTAAAGAGATCATTCGATCCTAACGATCTCCAACTAGAGCCATCTCGATTGCAATCGATCTTTCCTAAAGATAAAGATTCAGAGTCTGACAAATTCTCTATCTCGTAGAATCTTTCATGGTGAGTTTCTCTTCGAGTGGGACAACCATTGAGATCGATACCTCTTACTCGGTGGGAGCGCTTGGGAGAGATACGAATACCGTTTTGATTCACCTGGGCTCGCAGTTCCCCGATGACCTTTGCTGCACGTGGATTGGGGAATGCAGAGGACAGAGGCCTGGAATTCAGATGAATCTTTTCTTTCCAGCTGTGAAAGCCCAACTGATGCGTACGAGGTCTCGGAACGCCATCGCGATGGACACGATGAAATCGTTCGACATGAGCTAGTATGAATTCACCTAGTAAGCGAGGAAACTGTGAGAACGCCTTTCAGTGACGCGGCCACTATCCGCTGTGGGAGATGAAGCTCCGAGCGCAAGCTCGCAACATCGGGCGCCGCAAACATTCGAGCACGAGCATGGAGTGGCCGTCTGTGGCATCGAACCTGTGAATGTTCAAAAGTAGAAGCTACATCCAATGTGCACAAGCTAGTCTTCGAAGCGCGCGGTTCTGCCAAGAACGATTGACTTCGAGTACAAATGTACATAAGAGAAAGTAATTAAAGCCCACCATGAAGAAAGGGTCTCGGTATGAAGTAGTCTGACACGAGGAGCGGAGAATTCAGATACCTACATATGTATATGTTGGACCATATTTTTGTTGTTCGAAAGCGCCCGAAGACCCCGCTACATTCCGAGATGAAATGGTGACCTCCCGTCTCCGGAACGACGGTCGAGTTCTCCGATTTGTGTAGATTAAGGCTACTGAATATTCCCGGACTCTATACGCTCAGTGTCGGAAGGGTTTCTTTTTCGCCCTATTGTTAAACATTGTTTTGCCATTCCACAATAGATGAAATACATGATTCGAATGAGGGCGAGAGCGGGAGCGAACTCTGTGTGACGTGATTGTCCTAATTTGGACCGAGTTGATTTAGTTCAGAGAAAGCTGTGGACTTTGCCTCTGAAGCAGGTGACTAATAAAAGACAAATAAAGAGAGAGAGAGGAAGAATGATATTGCTTCTTCATTCAGAGCAAGGGGTGAATATTCCGCGATGAGTGGGATCTGTCCGAATTCCAGGTAGTAGGTCTCTGGGTCCATTCTCATCACCTGAAGAAGTTCTCTCAGAGAGAGTACTGCTCCCCGAGGGGTACGGATATCGCCTAGGACTCCCGTCGCTTATCTCCTGAGCACCATCGAGGGGTGACCGAGATCTCTCGAAATCCTAGGTTTCGTTCCGAAGTTTGCGAGGATGCTCCTCTTCAGGCTGAGTCGAGATATCACAGCGACCCCAAAGCCTCGAAGGCTCTCTCCTTTAAACACGCTCATTTTGTTTGTGGATGCAGGCATTGTCTCTTCTAGCGGTGAGATCGGTTTCTATCAGTACGTTGAGACGGCTTTTGTCTAGCGTGTGCTTCGTCTGTTTGTGTACAAGCGTGTATCTGGAGCACACGGTGAATCTCGAAGGACGTGGTGCCCCTCCGGATCCGGGTCTATTTGACATCCGAGCAAGACCTGAACTAGCGAGATCCTCTAATGAGCGCAATGAGGTTCCCGTTTTTTGTGACATTGTGTGTTCTGGCCCACTGCGCTCAGGGTGTCAACCGGCCTACCGTTGCTTTTGGAGAGCCTGAGCATGCCCATCCTCTGAATTTGAACCGCGTACATGAAGTGGGCAACGTCTTTGATTATCTCTGGCATATTTGGAAAGGAGTGGAAGATGTCATTACTGGGAGAATCCCTCACCCCTTCAAATGCACCGAGTGCTTCAAGGGTCTGGGCTGCTTCGATGCATGCAATGGAACTTTCCATTACATTCACCTATTACCGGAAACTCCCGAACAGATCAACACGACGTTCCGTCTGTACCCTTGGTGAGTGTGTATGAGAGCTCGGCATCATAATACGATTTGCATCATTCGGATCTTTTTTTGTTCCTATCAGTCTCGTAGATGGATGTGATGCCGTTGTATGACACCAGAAACTTGATTCCAAGGTACGATAACTCGACGGCGCTCTTGCTGAACTACACGAATGTTAGCGGCTTGAACAAAACGATTTTTGAAGACAAAAACCGCGGACTTCTCATCGTGAATCATGGCTTCGCAGCGGACTCGAATTCTGACTGGATGGTTACTCTCAAGAACACCGTCATCGAAAACGTACGGACGACGCAAGTTTTAACACCTCAACTACGTAGAGGCCTGGCGCTCGTATTGAATTCGCCCTTTCAAAATATCTGGGCTCTGAATCCGCGCATATAGCCTAGCGGGATCCCCCGCGAGTCATGCACTAAAGCAGGCGATTATCTCTTTCCCCTCAACAGCGACAGCACAACGTCATCCTCGTCGACTGGCTGAACGGCGCGGGACCCTACGACTTCTTCTATCCGATAGCCGTTGTCAACACAGATTTAGTGGGTCGCCAAATTGCCGTCTTGCTCCACCAGCTGATGTCAACGTATGCCTTGAAACCCGTGACCATTCACTACGTCGGTCACTCTCTAGGCGCTCAGTGCGGCCACTTCTTCGCCGAGTACTTTAAACAGATCTCGGGCGGTATGAAAGTCAATCGAATCACGGGTGAGGAGAAGCGACTCGTCTTCAGCTCTACATCAGAACTTGAGGGGAATTCGTGGCTTTCCCGGCATGTCAGCATTCGTTCGAATATCCTTGACCAGTATCTCATACTTTCATTCCCAGCTCTGGATGCAGCCTCTCCACTCTTCGAAGCCTATAATGTTGGTCTGAATACGAGTGACGCCATGTACGTGGATGCGCTCCATACATCAGCCGGAGATTCGATCCTCACTGGGAAGCTTGGCGTGGCACACCCTATTGGGCACGTAGACTTCTACATTAACGGCGGAACTTTTCAACCAGGATGCTGGGAAGTTGGTGAGTGCTCCCTCGAGGACGTATCAGCGTCTCGTCTTATACAGAAGGAACTGACCGAAGTCATTGTAGCTCCAGGTGACCCAATATTCACATTCTCGAACGCCTGACCGAAACCCTAATTACATGATTGCTCTTCTCCTCCGTCAGATCTCGTGTGTGCTCACAAGAGAGCTCACGATTACTACGTAGAAGCTGTCGAGAATCAGTTGGCGAACACACCTTGCGAATTCATCTCTCACTCCTGTGTCAACGGCATCGGCGGCTATAAAAACGGCACATGCATATCTGCCATCGGGAACTTCAGTCGCATATCGTACGACACTGTGTCTCAGACGGGCGACGGCATGCAGTACCTCGAAACGAATTCGTCCGCACCCTATTGTGCTGCGTGAAAGGTTATTGGCGGAGCGATTCGGCAGTACCGGGATCATTTTATCAGAGCTAAGGTGTTGTTCGTAGCGGTTCCATGTACAGATTCCAAAGAATTGTTCCGACTTGAAAGGAAAATGCACCCACAATACAGTTATCTTCGAACTAGTCGTTGTAACAATTTTTTAATTAGAAGTAAGTCATGCAAGCAGCCCCCTGCCTTCTGGGAATCACGCAGAACCATATGTTTATGTAGATAAACTTATCGAATTTCGGCCAACTTGAGCTTCTGATACATGGAAGACATTATCCGAAACTCCCCTTCACAACATCGCAATCATCGTCGGGGCAGCCCCCCGAATTTCGGTGAGTCAGGTAGCGGGAACTCTGGTTCTTCTATAGCGTGTCTCTTCCCGTACGGGTCGAGTTAATATAGCTCACCCAAAGATCAGTACAGGATGAGCAATTCAATGTAGAACATAAACTTTATTCCATGAATCATGATTTTTTTTATGATGCGATCATGTTCTGCACAAAACACTTCATTCAGTATTGTTGTAGAATCATCTTCTCTATCTCGTTCTACTCCGAAGTTTTCTCGTAATACGAAATTCACGGCGAAACTTCGTCTCCTCGCGGCTGAGTTATGGTAGACAGTTCACACCCAGGAATTAGAACGAAACATTGTTTCGCTCACTTGCTACCTGAGCTCGGTGATCCGATCAAATTATGTTCCGGTACCGAACTCGATCCCTCCGTCTTATCTCAGAAATCTAAGCTTTGACAGGAAGAATTCATCGATTTGGGGAATTCGATCGTGGTAGAAATTTGCAGGGATCAGAAATATCTATCACCCTATTTGAGACCTCATCGGGAGAGCACTCGTCCCAGAATCGATTACTCGAGAAAATACGAAAGCTCTGAGAGCATATTCTGCATGGTTCAACTTCCCCCACCCTTGCCGGAGATTTCTCATCCCGATACGAGGTCGACGCTGAATATCTCTGAAAACAGAGCAACCGGTGCTTGTAAAGCGCAAAGAATATGATCGCAAAGAATATACCATCGTCTTCCGCGAATATTAGGTCAAAGAAGTATGATCAATAATAATTTTGGGCGCCACCTCATTTGTCGTGCGAGACGCTCGTTAGCGACGCCCGATCTTCCCCAATGAAAAGAAAAGATCATGGATAAAAAATAACCGGATAAGAAATTAGGAGATCAAAACGGTTCGTAAAAGTTTGTATCCTCGGAGACACAGCCTGTTAGTGTTGAGTGTGGGTTTAGAGACGGTGGTCGCAAGAGCAACGATTTCACCCGAGTACGGTTTCCGAAATTCGTGTTCGACATGAAGCGTCGCAGCTCACGACAACCAAGATGCCTTCGATGGGTCCCATTATTTAGCAACCTCGTTCCCTATCCGCGCCTTTTGTACTCGCAGAGGTCCCCTCCAAAATACTTTCACTTTTCTGCTCTCCGCTCGATCGCGCAAAGCTTTGAGTCGGTCGCAGTGTTCTCGGAACAGGATATACATCGCGTCGATACCCGAGTTTAATTCTGTGTCGGACTTGATACGGTGCTACTTGGGCTGGTTTGGCACTGTTGTTTGTTCGTTTCTGAGACTCACAATCAGTAGATAGACTCAGCTGCGTCGGATTACTGATTTTTTTGACAACCCAAGACCCCCACATTGGTGGATCGGAATTTATTCGCGAACTCCTTCATGAGTATCGACTTCGGAAACGAAGATATTCCTGCTTTTCTCAACCGATCCATCGAGTAACTCTACGCGAGCCCGCCGCCACGTGAGCCTGCCCATGATTTATCTGAGAGCTTCATTCTTACGCGGGACATCGAGAGATATCTAGACGCCTTTTCATTTGCCGGCGATTCGACAGCCCTTACAAAATGTTCCCCTTGACGGCGCGGCGTGCTCTATCCGTCAGAAAGGCCTAATCCAACGATCCTTTGTGCTGGCGACATCATACAACTAGGAGAAGTGCATCCGAATTGCGGGTTCACCGCTAAAGATTGACAATACAAAGAATCCAATCAGATGGTGCGCTGTAAATACACGCACCAATGGCTATCACTAACACATTCTCGTGAAGCACATCTATCGGTATATCGACCGACCAACCGACTGATCAGTCCGCGAGTCAACTAAGCGATAGAGTCCTGTGAAATCACTGCAACCGCTGCAGCCCGATCACATAACAGTCTTCTGTCTGCTCAATCTATGTACAAAGGGCCCGATACTCGCGCAAACCCGATGCTTGCGCCAAGTTGTATCGTGACAGCCTTTCATGGCATCTTGACTCTGACTGACGTGAGAACGTCATTCACAACAACATTCTGATAAAATTGGTGCGAGAGGAAAAGCACTCATCGAAAATATTTTTTCCACTCGAATTGACTACTGGATCCTCACACATTAACGTCACGTCGTGGCTGAAAATGTCGAACACAAAGCTATACAGATAAACTCTTGTTTGTCGGAGTTGCTCTTGGATTGTGAGTTCGCTTTCCGTTTGTACCGTTCATATTTCCCAAGGCTTTATCTATATCAGTCGAACTCCCTCGGCTTTTTCGGGAGCTTCGGCCGAATTGGATCACATTTCGCAGAGTGTGACCATCAGCGAGTCGTCGTCTTGGTCCTTCAGGACGCTCATTTGGAACGTGTCCTCGTTGCAATAATGCTTGACAACATCGTCGTCCATTTCGACGGTGACCCTGCGGGGAATAACACGTATGAATTGAAATACATTTATCCATGATCGCAGGACCGGACAGAATCATAGATTACAGTATCAGATTATTATGCTTATCGGTGTAGAAATTCGAACTACTAGGAAGAATGCTCCTAGGGGCGCCGATCGGGCGAGAGCCGGAGGAGGAGGGGGGGGAAGGCGACCCTTGCACCATTCCGTCGCTTACTGAGGAACTTACCCTTTTTTGCATTGTTTGTACAAACTCTTGATCTTATTTGCCGGTACTTTGTACTTGTTTTCGAGCTGCTCATGGGAGAGAGAAAGGAATCACATGAGAAATCAGAGAAGTTGGCTTCTTCGGGATTTGCGGACTGGCTCGATTTATGGTTGAGGACCGATTCTCCGAGAGAAGCGTCGGACAAGATCTGAGTTCGTCATCCATCGACGGACTTACCGCCTTCACGAGCCCTGAGAGACTGGGAGGGACGACATGCAGAGCCTGGAATACTGGCTCTTTCTCCTGGCGGACGTACAGGAGAACTCTATCGGTCGGAAAGGCCTTCAGTTTTTTCTGCGGTGGTGGCGTAGAAACGACTTCGGGTGCTGCAGTGGTACTCAGGAGCTCGCGTTCCCTGTGAAGATGCTCTCTTTGTGAAACCACCTCCTTCATCATGCTGAGAACTCCGGGATCCTCCCGCGATCGCCTCAATAATACGCCGTCAAAAACATGGGCGGTCGGAACCAACCTGTTCTGAGTGTAGATCCCTGACCAGTCGTGAAGCGAATCACTCGTGGATCCAGGTCGTGAGCAAGCGTCCATCCTTGGGAATAGATCGAATCACTTTAGCGAGTCATTTCTTGATCTTGAGGAGCCCGTACCCGGCGTCTCGTCTCGGGAAGGAACCATCGTCCACAATAAGCTGAAGAAGCGGCTTGAGTTTCCCTTACCCTTGCGAGTTCGGATCGTCTATTGAGCCGCTTGTGTAGAAATTCAGGTCCACATTGTTACCCTGTTGGGATTGCTGGATCAATTTCTCAGTTTCTTCCGTGGGTGTAAATAGCACCGGGGGCTTCGATAACTCGGCCATTGAGTAGAATTCCGTACGGTCACATGTGGTGTGGTACATCTCCTCGATTTTCTTTCGACCATCTGGGAACAAGGGCATTGAGAGTTTTATCATAAGGACTCCGTCTGAAGTCTCATCGCATACGTAGGGACTTGCGAGAATTCTCCAGCTCGATCGGAAACTCACTTTGAGTAGCGGTGAGTTTTCGTTTCTGCGACCGGCGTTCTTCGTCACGAGTTTTACGCTCCGCGCCTTTATCGCAGAACACTTTTATCTGCGAGTACCCTCTATGAACGGGTTGAGATCCTTCGCAGTAGTCATCATAAGTGTCGACCTGGATATGCAACGGAAGGCCTTTCACACCCTTCTGATTGCTAAAATCCGTCGACAAGCACTGCACAGCCACGTTGATCTGTGAAAATTCGAGCGTTATCAGCACTCCCGAGGCACAAAGACAGAAAGGCGGTACGCAATACGCAGGCAATGAGAGGAATCCATCGGGGTCCGGATTCGGGAGGCCAGTGCTCAACGGCGCTTCGAGCATTGGCGCTTTCCGGTGCTATTCCGTTGGAAACCCGCAGAGAAATCAGAATGCTTTCTGAGACGGAAAATGTATCCGGAAGAGTTCGACCGACACATCCCCATAGACCGAAATGAACTCGTTCCATCAGCTCTGCGCGAGCAATTCTTCAGAATGGGGCGCGCAGTTATTCAGCATACGATCGTGAATGGATATCCACGACTCATTCGTATCCGAGATGCCAATATATTAAGAAAGGAGGATAATAAAATGAGGCGCTTCGGCGGAGTTACGAATCTTTCATTAGAATATGATACAGCTGGGCTATCAGTTTGCTCGGTGGATTCATGTCTCGCGTGCTGCAATCGACGTGTTGCAAACTGCCATATCAGTGTGTCCAAATAATCATCTTTTTTCGCCTAGTATCTCGATCAGCAATTAAAAGTCCATTCGACCGAAACAGGGTCCGCGAAATCAGTGCTTTCGTTCTGTGTACTTCTTGACCCAGCTCAGGGGCTACTCGGAGCGTCGCTCCGATTTTGTTCCGGATGTAGCCTAAGTGAGCATGAGTAAGTGAATACCGAGCCACAGACCGACGATCGTCCGAATACCGAACCGCTTAGACCGTGGTAGAGCGGCGACAGTCCATCAGCCCGAAAGCCGAATGAGTGGGGGCTTGCTTCTTACCGAAAATTCGGCTGAATCAGCCGGAGCTCGACCGACTCCAGAAAACTTGCAAAATAAATCATCTCTTCTACCTCTCCATTATTTGGCGAGGCACAATAGACGATAGAGCCCCTTTTGCTCGCTCGTGTCGACTCATGAAACCCCCGCTAGTTCAGCAAGAGGGGGAGGAAAAAATAACTTTCGGGCTAATGTGTGTGGGCCTGATTGATGATACGGGTAGAGCACCGGAGAGTATACAGTAAAATGAGTTTGTAATTGACTCCAAAGCGATCGAACCTTTGCGGGGCCTTCCAAGGGGTTCCAGTAGAAAGCTATTCCATTGTGTGTGATTTCTTCAATGGGCCCGACGATTCCCGACGAGTTCTTGACATCGGCATCGAGGATTCGTTGCTTTGCCGAGTGCTGACGTGAGTGCCAAAATTGCCATGCCTGTGGGAGTCGTCCGAAATTGGATTAGTATCGCTAGATGCCGAGATAGGAGCTCCCGATTCCCCTGCTCGCAGGGAAACCTTTCGCGGGTGATCCCGTCTTACATTAGTGATGGGAACTCTGAGATTACCTTGATTTCATCTTCAGCGCTCTTCTCTTCTCTGAAGACGAGCATAACAAGACTTTTGACCGGGGTATTCTTCAGCGGTCGATCCGGATCGGGAGCGTATTCCAGAGTGACTCCGTAGAACTGGCCCTTGTTAATGTACGTGATTCTGTCATCTTCCTTCCGGACTGACGTGGAGATCGGTGACTCAAGGTAATACTTGAAGCCTACGTCCGAATGGCTGAAAGGGGCAAAGAAATGTTCGGTGTTAGAGATTGTCTCTGGATTCGATCGATTTCGAAATTCCTCCCTACCACGAATATTCTAGCTAGGGACGGTCCCGAATCGATGGACAGTCTCTAAAGAAAGGGCTCGTTTCCAGGGATCGAAGAACGGATGGGCCCGCTCGTTTGTTCGCTCGTTCATAAATTGAGTACTAAATTGAGACTAGAAAAGTCGCTAGATGGGGATTCCGAAATCCTCTCATCTGGTTCGATGCCTTCTGCCTGCATTTGGGGAACCTCTCGGACCGCAGGTGCAGAACCATGCAACTCCCTCGAGCGCTACCGTCGAATGCCGTTCGCTCATCGACCCCGCACTGGAATCCAGTGAGTAGAATCACCTACGAGGAGATACTTCGGAAGAGTGGCGATTTGAAGCACCATGAGACGCTCATGGTGCCGTTTTTCATGCTGCCAAGATGAATACGCAGCCGCAATGGGCGCGACTGACGGCGGGAGTGGCATCGGCAGAAGATGGAAAAAATTGGAACTCCTCCTATTTGTTAAAATTTCATGCTCAGGCGTTTGTAAGAGTCGATCGCACTGCGCGCTGGATTCTTCAGCAAAGAGCTTGGATCGATCGGCCCGGAGAGCGACACGTATGCCCGTTGTCATTCTGGCTGCGATGGCGAATATCTGACAAGACAGCTGAAGTGTTTTTTTTTCGCTTCTACTACATGCTTTCTGTTGCCTCAAGGAAGAATCTCAGGGAGTTCGGTTAACGTCAGAGCATTATACAGAAATGACTTGTTAGTAGACGAGCCCGACGACCACACACAGAGAGCCCAACCACGCCGCGATACAGCAGGGTGAATGGTCAGAAGAGACACCGCTGCTTACGCTCTTAGTCGCGGCCAAAACGAGAATGTGAGGTAAATGAGCAGACCAGAAAGGACCACGAAAAAGACAAGAGCTCTCTGTTCGATTAGATGCAGATCCAAACGATAACGGAAATTCGCCGGATTGTCCTTCTCGGTCCTCGGAGCTGTAGATCGAGAGGGGAACAGCAGGATGTCGACAATTATCGGAATTTCCCCTCAGCCCGACGATCACTCAAGAATTGCCATGCTCGATTCACAATCCCCAAAGGGTTAAAGGTAAAGCGCGCCGGGTGAGGTTCGGTCTCCGGAAAGTGACTGAGAACTTCCATCGCAGTCCTTCGAATTTGACTTCAAAAAATTCGCGAATATACGGCAGGATGGATCAGTAGAGGCTCAGTAAATTAGAAAAAAATATATCTATTCGGGTTCGCCGGAGCAGTGCTCTGCGGTCGGCTGCCGTTGGAATCGTTTGAACTGGAGAAGCGAGCCGTCGCGCTGTCGACATGGAGGTGACGCACCCATAATTGGCTGCTTCATACGTCCACGTTATTTCTGAACGTGATCTTCGTTCGTCCCCTCGCTCTATCGCTCGCTCGATATCTCGGACGATCGCTTGCCCGTTTGCTTGATCGCCGCAGTCGACACACGCGCAAGCATGAGGCCGACAACACAGAATTCTTTGCATATGGCACGACATCCCACCGGAGCTCGGCGCGCGTCAGCAGGGTTCCCGGAATATGTTGGCTTCTCGACACACGTATTCGCTCGTTCGTTCTTTCCATCAAGGGCCCGCTGTCCGGCAACTTCGGAATCCTCACTGATGGAGTTCCTCGTCTTCAGCTTCCAGATAGGATCTGGAGGAGTGGGGACACACAGCGGGAGGAGCAGACTGAAGATCAGAATATAGGATCTGCCTCGAAATCCGCCCGAATCCCCGTCGCCTGCTTCCGGAGTCTTCGAAGCCCTCGACTCGGAGAAAGCAAATCAAATCGAGGAGGCACGCTTCACTTCTTCGCAAACATGAATTCAGTCTTTTTCGATGGTTTGACGCTTTGCTGAAGTCTCCTAAATTTGAAGGGAAGCATCTGAAATGCTCGCTTTCAAGCTGCTCGCTCCGGCTCAATCGCGGACAAAAAGTCGAGGCGTGGTTGCGTCGTTTTCTTCACGCTCGTTCTCCGCACAGGAGCCGGCGACTGCCGCTCGGGTATGCTAATACCTTGCTGAACGGTTCGACACGGAGAAGAAAAACACATTTCGACCGAAGTCAAATGGACTTCCTACGAAAACAACTCTGATGCAAATGTAACTTTTTGATATTATAATCATCGCGGAGTCTCGAGAGCTTCTCCGGGAGCCGGAGGAGCGGAGCCGCGCTCGAGACTTGCCATGGCAGCCCGTTCGAGGAGCATCGTCATTCTTCTAAATGCGAACCTGAGATTGGCTTCGAACGCGTTTGAACGCATCTTTTGAAAACTCACATTTTTGGTATGAGGATCTTGTCTGATTCGTTCGACCTCCCGTACTCGTGCCATGATCGGCATCTCTGGCCTGTTCGCGAGTTGCTGACAAGCTCTCCCTGGCCTGTCACGGAGCTGGCGGGTGATGTGACGAGTGTTGTCGTCGAATTTGGGATATCCGAGTAGTCGAAGATCTGCAAAAGTAAGAAACACGAATACAGTCAGGAATCATGGCAGCTCTCCTGTGGAAATCGCCGGAAGGATCAGAGTACATCGTTTCGAGAGAATGTAGAGAAGAATGGTCAATCGAATCCGAGAGGGAGAGAAGGCGTCAAACCCTGGCCCAGAATGCGGAAAGGTGTTCTCTCCACGGCTCTGAAGACGGTTCCGAAGTCTGGAATCATTCGAGGCGACGTCGATTGCGAATAATGAAGGCGGAGACGAACACTGCTCCATCGCCCGAGAAGTATAACAACAAACTATTCGTCCTGATTGCAAACGACAAAGGAAACCTTCGCCTCAGGCACTCCCGGCACGCCACAACATTCCGTTTTCCCCGCTGTCACTCAGCCACCCCGGGAGTGAGTCGGTTGTGTGTATCCGCTGTGGGCGAGCGGCTGAACCGGTGGGCTTCCCATCGTCAGCGAAGAGCAGGCGACGATCGCATACCAAAGAAAATCCCTGTCGCCCGGAACGCAGTCTGATTGCCGCTGGAGCTGCCTCGCATCAAACAGTATCAACGAACCGGTCGTGTATCGTAAGGACGTCCGAACGACTCGACTGTCGGTCATCTGCTGCCGAAGAATCGAAATCGGCGCTCGACTGGCTGTAACTCCACCCCAACACGAGATGTTTCTGGTCTATCGGTCGAGTATGCGCGTTCCAGAGCAGCCGATCGAACGCTTCTTGAATTGCAAGCTGTTGCGATTTTTTCAATCCAGGTCGAAAAACCCATATGTAATAGCGTCAGAAGATTACTTTCCCCCGCAGCTTAGTTGGACGGACTGGCCTCCGGGCGGACGGTAGACTCGTTACCGCGTTCCGGATTCCGTTCGCACACTGTGAATACCTAACAGCGTCAACGGACTCCGATAGGGCTCGCCGTAGCGCAGTCTCTCATTGTTCCTCTCACGTTTTCCTGCGCAGCCACACCTGTACAACGGCAGTAGACAAGCGGTCGGGCGCCGTACGGCACCAGCATCGCTCGGAATCGGGGCGGCTCTCGGCTTCTAGTTATTAATCGGCGCTTGTTCATGTTTTCATTGTTTTCGAGTGAGGAAAACAGAAAAAGAGAAAATGGCCTATCGAACACAGCTTTTTGCCGTCACCGCCATGAACGGAATTCAATCAGACTCCCAACACGCCTGCGAGAACGAGAACGTGCGGTGCCAGCGATCTCCCAGACAAAGGCAACGAACCGCTTCTCGCTGACCACCCGAAGTGAAAATCTGATTCACTTCATAAAGCCCATCAAAAGGGAGAGGACGCACCGGCTCCACTCCATCAGGCGAGCGATCGGTGTGGTTTGCGAATGAATGACTTGAGGAGAACTCGCGTACGATTAGGAACTTGCAGCCATCATCGCACCGAGACGTTGATCCCGTTCCAGGCCGATGGCTCGGCTCCGTTTTTTATTCCTCCGTCTTCGAAATGAATACCGTAACATATTTGGAGAGTTTACCCCTTCTCGTTCTTCTGATACTCCCCGCAGCTTTCATTGCTCTTGAAATGAGGATCGAAGATTAAATCCAAGAGGCACTGAAGTGGCGTTCAGCAGGTGACGAGCAACTCCATTCCTTCGGTCGAACGACTGATAGGGGAAGGAACCTCATTGAGATTTTGATTTCTATTCCGACCCCGTCGAAAGAGGGTTTAGCGTCATCGGCGTTTCGAATCGAAACGTCGGACCGGCCAGTCGCCGAAACTCATCAAGCAACATGACAATGACGACAATGCCCGCTGAACGATGACAGCGAGGAAAACCCGCCGCCGCCGCCGCCACAAGAATACGTGCAACAATAGGCGCATCGGTGGACGCTGCTCCTGCTGCCGCTTCGGCAGTAAGGACGACAGCAAGCGATGCGTCAAGACATCAGAGCAACAAGTGATATGAGAGCAGCAGCAAAAATGAAAATAATCCAGCCGCGAGTTCGACGAAGAGAGCAATGCAGCGGGAGATGAGAGTTCTCCGAACGAGAAAAAACTATGTCATGACGTCGCGTCATGACAGCAGCATACGGCGTCCGTTTGTGACGACGGTTCAATCTTCGTTTTCCCGCTCAGAGTCAAAAGACCGATCTCGCCCATCCTCCCTTCGCTTGGCCATTCGTCTGATCGCACACCGAGGTTGGGATCTCGATTCATCCAGCCTCTCTCTCCCCTTCCCCCTGCCCTCCGCCCCTCCTGCCCCATGGCGTCGATTGTCGATGCCGTCGATTACCGGTCTGGCGCGGCCCCCCAATTCATCGGGAAAGTCCACGGTAGACGGAGTCGCCAACGACGACGACGACGACGAGTGTATGTAGGAGCCACGTGGAAAGCGAAGAGGATGATTCAACGAGCGAGAAATCGAAGATGAAGAAACGTCCGAGCGTAATTATGAGCACTTTCATGGTGCTGGTCGCCACTTTATTTATTATCGAACAATAACAGTCAACCAGCCTGCCGGTGAGCGAGCGAACGAGCAAGCGGGCAGCATTCAGACAGTTCGCTTTTCCACGGGCGATTCATTGTTCATGGATGTCGGAGAAGCGTAGGGGAAAGAAAAATTGCATACACCCAGAGAGAAATCGACCAGAAGGAGATGGGACGGGATGAAAGAGCGAATTTGCATTCATTAATAATAATCGTCGATCGTACGGATGGATGAACTAACTGACTTGCCACGCACTCCGCTGTTGACCGAACAGACAACATTAACAGGAGCCAGGGGAGGAGCACTGCTCGCACCTGATGAACTGCAGGAAACTTAGACGAATAATCGGACTAGAAAACTCGATAGGACACAGGCACCATCGATTCGGGGATGATGAATTGGGAATGGACCAGAGAAGATAGAACGGAAGGGACTCCGCGGTGCTAGGAGACAAACAATCCAGAAGGCGACCGACCGCAGACCGTGACACCTTTTCCAGAGCGTTTGGACTAGCCCTCGGCCGTTGTGGCGGTCGTTCGAGCCGTCATTAAATCATCTGAATCTCTCGCTCATCTACATATTTGTATATGGTTGTTTTTTTTCTTACGCAATCACAAAGGTATCATTTGCTCGAGTATCTATCGCGCGATCATTGGCTCTTTTGTCGCAAGTCCTCCGACAGGCCGAACAGAAGAGAAAACCTCCCGCGAAGTAATATTTAGCGAGATTAATCGTCCCAAAACACAGAAAACTTCAAGGCGGACATGCGGTCTCTCATTTTGTTTTCTCGGAGATCAAAATTCTGGAACTCGATGTTTTCGGATCGAATTGGTTTGTTTCTCTGTATACTGTCCTAGTGAACGCTCATTCCTATGCCCGCTAGATCGTCGTTAGATTGTCTGATTTCTTAATTGCTTCTCATTGACGTTCGTTCTCCGATTCTCCCGTCACCATTGACCGTCCGATGAAGTGCTTCAGTCCATTCCGAAGCTCCGAATACAGTCGAATCAGTAGCTCCGCCGCGCTTGCGAAGACGGGAACGGAGATCGGGACAAAGATGCGAAAAAACATCGGCAACACTTCTCCACGAGATATGTGCGTGCGCTCTATGTCTTCCCAACGAAATTGAAGCAGCGAAATCGGCATCGAATGAAGATCGTCTTCGGACAAGGCAAGCGACACCGTGTCGAGCCCATCTGGTGGCCAACGACAGCCGACCTGAATTAGAAGCTCTCACCTAAGTGTGACGGAGAAATTCGATGCCGTACGATCGGAGTAGACCGAAGTCATGAACAGCTCCGGTCTTCATGTGGTCCTCAACTCTACGAACTCGCAATTATCATCGGACTAGATAGATTGCGTATCCAATCCGAAAACCTCTGGAGGGAGGAATGATCTCCTTCATCATTTCTCAGTTGGGCAAACTACTCCCCGAATGTGAGCAGAATCCTCGCTTGTAGAGTTTCGTCGATAGCTCGCAGATAAGGAATCTCACCGTCTCCGACTTCTTTCCTCGAGTGCCTTTGTGAAGGTAGATAACTCGCGGTCGTAGAAGCAGAGGAACGAGGATTAATGGCAGGAGCTGCAGAAGCAGAAGTAGCAGCGGCAGCGGTCGCAGCGACTGTTGCTTCGGAACACAATCAGTATAATAACGTCGCCGTTTCCTTTCTACCAGAGAACGCCAAGTGCCCAAGTGGAGAGGAGAAAAGTCAAAGCAATCTTAATCGAAAGCGAAGCAAAAGAATTCAGTCCCTGCTTCGATTTCAGTGCGTCAGTGCGTCGCAGCGGGCGACTCCGCTCGGGCGAGTGCCATAAATTTCGCGTAATTATCTCGTGATTTCAATTTACGAATCGAATTCTCCGTTAACGTGCGAATCGGATCGAAGGTCCGTGGTTTCGAACTGCGAGTTCCTCAACAATTTGCCAAGACAATCAGATAATGATCGCGTGCTTCTGAAGCTTTCTGGCAGATACGCTGAATTGAAGAAGAAGACAGGAGTACGAACGCTCCGATAATTAGGCTTTCGCGCACGCTGTAGGCACTGCGAATTAATCGGTCTCGAGGTAACTTCTCCGATCAGTCATAGAGCGTCGATGGTATTTGTAGCTCGCCTTCCAGTGGCTTGGTAAGGCAGCAATCTAGAGGTAGCAGAACTACAAACAACTTTGCTGTTCGTGATCGGAGTAGCCAACGTTAAGCGCGGCTGCCGGAAAGTTGACGAGCGGTCACGATTCCACGGCAAAATAATCAATGTGCCGATTCATCAATGGATAAGCCACGTATGGAGTCGATGATCTAATGGGTGGTCGCATGGGAAACCTGCAGTTTTGATTCTGTGGAACCGCGGCAGGTTTCGACTGCGGGCCGAGGATTCTGAATGAAAACTCGTATTCATGCGGCTCCAGCCATACCCCCATCTCCGGTCGCCAACTCCCGGAGACTGCCAGCGTGAGGGAATAGGGGGTCAACACGGGGAATATTGATCAGTGCAATCATCGGACTTCAACACGTCTACCGCTGTGAATTCGGATGGAATTCTGTTTTTCTTTCGTTCGCCGAAATTTGTCATTCCGACCGAGACTCGGGGATTACCTTCAAAATCGCTGCAGCGTCAACAGTCCGATTTCGTTTTAATTTCTCGGACCAAATATTTTTCTTACTTTGATTTAAAGTCAGGGTGTGTGCAGGCGCGCTTCGTATTTCTCCCGTCTAATCCAATTCGGGAGTTGCTTTTTCCGATGGAGTACCCGTAGCTCCGATTTCCGTTTCTATTGCTCGTTGACCGGGTTAGAATTTCAATTTTCAAAAGGCACTCCTTGCTTTATTTCCTTCCCCCGTGCGTTCGCCTAGCTATCCAGTTGTCGTCGTCGTTATGCCAAGCAGTTAGGCCGCGGTCTTCCTGAACGATTGTCAGACGTCAACGTCAAGCATGTTCTCCTTGTGGAGTCAACGGCGATGGCGCGGCTGACTGACTTCTGGCTCGGACAAGAGATGCGGAATAATCGAGACGTAGTTAACGAGTTCGAGGTCTGCTCTTTCGTCGGTTGACCTGCTCTCGATTAGGATCATCGTCACCATTGAAAATGAAGAATGGATCCGGATCGGCGTCGAAAAAGACTCGATGAAGAAACTTGTGGCAGAGTCCCGAATGGAGCTTCCATGAACGCATCCACTGCGATTCGCAACGTTCGATCGCCTATGGCGCTCTGTTCTCTAGCCGCGGTCGTTTCGGCAAGCGGAGGTGCCGACGAGACCGATCCGCTCTAACTCTCTCTTTTCCTAATGCGGCTTAATGGCTGGAGAGACATAAAATTTTACGAGATTATCCTTCTGCAGAAGCGTCTATCTGAGATGTCGTCGATCGGCCGCTGAACGCCGATGACGCTCCTTGCGAGGAAAACCAAAAAATAAACAAACGCCGCAATTCTCAGCCTTCCCGCCCGAGTCATCGGCACGACGGTATTCGATCCTTTCAACTCGTCTCGAGAGGGCTCGTCCGAGTTGTAAAATGGCGCGCGAGGAGATGGATTACTGCGAGAATCCTATGGCGCCGATACGGGGGTCATCTTCACCAGTCGAAAGGAAATAATAAGTTTCTCAGAAAACCGAGATGCGACATCAATGGAAGTCTTCGGAGTCGGATACCGTGAGAATTTCCGCCATCGTGATAGATCACAAATAACTCCAAATGCTCAGGATCGGATTCCAGCGCTTTTGCGTGTTTGCTGAATCAGGCGAACAATCGAGGATCATGACTTAGAGCGTCACGCTCTTACCCATGCGAGATTTGAGGATAATAGTCCTCGCAACACACGTCGAGGCGATAGGTTCGGCGACGCTCGCGGAGCTGGATCTCTCTTCGACTTCGGATGATTACGTTGGTAGCACCGAGAGGAGAGAGGAATCAATCATGACGCAAATTTCCAAGAAGGCCACGAGACCCCCCCGCTCGTGTACTCGGTATGTCGCTTCCTCTCGCCGCTCGTCTGCGTCGCTCGTCGGCGTCAATGCGGTCGGGAAGCGTTCTCTCGGAACCCTCATATTGGCTCCGAAGTAAGAGCGATGTCTCCATTTTTCCCTTCCTTTCGACCATCTCCGATATCTCCCGTCTCGAAATTCCCCGGACACGTTTCGACTTCCAGCTGTCTTTCGATTTATTTTAGAGTCCGACGCCGGAGCCACCGCAGAGAGTAAATCGAATAAAGGCGGAGAAAAAACTTCGGCGCCGGGGAAGGAGAAAGAGATGAACGCAGCACGCGACGCGAAAAGGAGATTCCTGCGGTAACATGGCAGTATAATCGAAAAGGGGATATCTTCCGTCCTTTCCCGCGTACGCTGCTCTCACTGGTGGATTTGTCAAGATCTGATGAGGCGAGCGAATGGAAAAGGATGAAGGCGCCTGCAGAGGCTGGCAAGCCGCCGCTCGGGTGAGCGTTGTTGGCAGCCGTAATGGATACCGTAATGACGAGCGTGCTGCTCACGGAGAATGGACTTCAGATCATACCCACTCCCTCGAGTAAGCAGAATGGCGTGCACTGAGTTCTTATCTATCGCGGCGTTAATAAGCATCGTCGCCATCGCTATCATCATCATCGGCGTGAAGTTCAGCGCGACAGACACTCACATCTGAATGTCTCTCTCCGCTCGACCAGCTAGGCGAGATCGCACTTTCGGCAACGTGGGTGAAGCGCGAAGTTTCACTGCGATTCTTCGTTCGTTTTAGTGCGATCTTAGGGATGACAAACGGACGACTTGCAAATGGAATTTCGGCGATTGGCACGGAGCCAGAAGATTTTGGAAACGAAGTTGACCGGAACTCGCTCTTCGGCGAGATTCAACATCATCGATGACACGCAGACTGAGCTCTGCGGTCTTCGCATCGCGAACATCGTCGGGAGACGACCCTGAGTCGCTGGGATGAACCCGCAGCCGAAAATTCGGTCGACCCACCATTCGACCGATGAAGCAAGCAGAAACGATCGAGCCAAAGGTACAGATTCGGCCTATTAAGAAAGCGAATAGGCACTAATAAAAAGTCGATAATTGCATTTTTACTATATCAGAACGAATTTTCTCCCCGGTTCTTCCTCGCTATCGGCTCGAAGTAATTCGGCGAAAATGGTAAAAGTGCTCACGGAGATCGCGTGACCTTGACCAAAGAGCGTTCGGTCGACCTTGACTCCGCCGCCGTCGCTGCAACCGCCGTCGTCATTTTATGCGATATGAAGCCAGCGACGCTTAAACCAGCGCTGTTACCAATTGGAGGAGGCGTTTCGAATGAAACTCCCGTGTTTCAGTTCGGTCTCCTCAATGCCCAGGAGTCGCTAATGTCCAGCCAATCCGAATAGTTTCCTGGTTAGGTCACTGGCAAGAGATTCCCCAAGCCGAACAGTTCACAGCTGAGACGCTGAAGGGCCGTAATTTCGGTTCGCGACATCTCTCTACCGAGGGACGATCACTCCGGAATTCCGAGGGCTCTCTGCGACGAGAGTTTTGTTCTAAGTAAATTACGTACCTGGGGAAGTCCTGTGGGTTCTCTGGGTGTCATCGTCTCCCCGATGCCGGAATCCGGCGACGGTAGATCCACCGTGAGGCCATTGAGCCCCTTGTACGGTTGTGTTTGCGTTTGCGAGCTCGGTCGGATGTACCTTTCAACGAACAGAGGATCCGCCGTCGGTAAGGTCGTGGTGCTCACGGGATTCGATAGGACATCGGACGGAAATACGGTTAGAGTCTGTTGTTGCTGAGGCGTGTTCGAGTTCCGCACGGCGAAGTCACCGTTGTTCTGATAGTAGTCCCTGAAAGAAGCGCCCTGTCAATTCTCGTCGTTGAGCACACTGTAGTCTCGGAGTACCACACGAAGTCCGAAGGTTAAGGAGTCAGTACGGCGGAGTCGAAAACGCCCAGTAGTTGAGTAGTCGCTCGAATTCATCAGATCGCGTCGAGAACCAACGTCATCATCACTCATGCAAATCCACATCACAGCAAGAAGGTTAGCCGCAGATCTCCGAACCTCCACCGGCGACAGCTCGTTCCGCAAATCACCTGTAGAAATCTCCGGTTGTCGTGACGGTGCTCTGTACGGTTGAAGCTGTACCCGTGACGGTAACACCGTTCGTGTAGACCGGTCGAGGGCTTGACCCTTCATTAGACTGCACACTCGAGACAAAGACCTGACCCGATCCCGCCGAAAGAGCCGAAAAGAGATCGCTATAGGGCTGAGCCTGTTGCACAGTCGCGTACACGGGGCTGTAGGGGGACTTGGGCTCGACCTGGGTCGAGACTGTGGATTGAGACGCGTTCGGGTTCCCGGGACTTTGGGTAGGTTCTTGCTTGACCTGAACCAACACCGATATCGGAACCCCATCCAGAGCGACCTCTTTCGTCTCAATCGAAATCGTGCTGTCGGCCGAGAGGTTGTTTTGCGTCGTTTGGGTTTGTCCTGTTACGGGTGAGCCGGGATCGTTTTTGATGTCGTTCAGAAAAACGTCCGTTTCGTGTGGAGAGTCCGCGGCTTTCGGGGACGCTGATCCCTGGCTGCTGCAAGTCTCGATTTTTAGGTTGGGCGACTCGAGTCCAACAAGCTCGTAGCGTGCCGAACATAGACCGTATTCATTTCAAGGACGATTTTCGTGGAACTTCTCGCGTCCAGAGTTATTTTTTCCGAATATCCTCGGATCTTCGTGACAGACCATCCGCTAATGGGAATAATCACCCGGATTCTCGTGAACGAAATCATTTGGAAAATAAGTCTACTTCGAACTCACCTCCAAAGTTCTGGTAGGGCCGCGGACGCAACGTTGGGCTGCCCGATCTGGTGGGATTTGAAGGCGTAACTTTCGTACATCAGAGCCGTCGCCTGCTCCTCATGGATATTGATCATCGCTGTGGCAGCAGCACTGAGCGGATTCTCTGCGCCACCGCTGTTGTAGTACTGTCTCCAAGAGTCTTCGACTTTGATCTGACTGCCAACTGGAACGACGATTGAAGAAAACACCAAGCAAGACATACGTTAAAAGCTGCTCCACAGATTAACAGACTGATCTAGCGTCGTCGATCTTGTCGGGCCGTCTTCGATTGAGCGGGAGTCCATCGGGAAAAGATACGATTCGGTCTTCGCCACTGCTGCTCCTGCCGCAGCATTGACAGCAGCAGCAAAAGAAGATGAAAGAGCATCCACAGAAAAGGACCGAGCCAACACGAAACCAGCACAGATTGCCGCCTCGGGCCTTAGGATTCCCTCTAGTCGGAATGGTCAGTCATCAGTTCTCGCAATCATCAAGTGTACAGATTTCGATACGTCTCCATTACGATGGAAACGATCTTAGGGTTCGAGTGTTCGGTTCCTTATTCCCGCCGTAATCGTTCGGATTCCGGCTGTACCTATCTCTTGGAACGACTTCAGCAACTCAAGCGTACTGAGTTAGCGTCAAGCGAGCCGTGCCGTCAGACGAAAAGCAATCGCGGATGGAAAAGATGATCTTCCCCAACCGCTCTCTGGCTCGATTTTTTTTCGCCTTTCAGATTATATCGCGTCGTCGCCATCGTCGATTCGGCGATTCGCACTTTTGCCGATGAGCCTCATCTACTGACTCCGACGGCGTCGGTCGGTCTGTCTCTGTTTGGTGTGTGTGCGCGCTCGGTCGCCGTCCCGAAGACGTCAACGAGTGGACCTTCCCGACGTCAGGGCCGCTTCTACATATAACCGTAGATCCCAGTTGGTGAAGTTGCTGAACGGCAGCCCCATGGACGAGGACCATGCGTAAAGGACAATCAGAGGAATAATCTCTGGTTGAATGCCGCGAGACTTCCCGATGGGGCTTTTGGAGACTTGGTTTCTGTTGAGAGAGTTCAACTCTATCCTCCGGAACCCTATCACAAACCTCGATCCCTCCCGCGTACTCTCTCTCTCTCCCTGGGATTCCTTGGCAAGAGCAACCTCCAGGGCTAGGGCATACAGCCTGAGACGTCGGCCGTGAAATTCTGCTGCGAAAAGTAGATGGCATCGCCGAGGCAGAACACCGAACGCCTTCGTCTCTTACAAACAATGGTACCTGCTATCGCCACGCAGGAGGGACCGATCACGGTCCCGAATCTGCGGAGTCGACGCGGTATTCCAAACTAATTAAACCGATAGCTGCGCCTGTGGCTACGTCCACGAGTCGGCTGGCTGTCGCTCGCGTTGTGCCACATCAGAGGCTATAGCCCGCTCGTATAGGCAGCTATTTTCGAGACGGACTCTTTTCGGCCAATGACTGGTCGTTTTCTTCCTTCCTCTGATGATTCTTATTACAGAAGAGACAGGTAAGCGGGCAGGCGCGCGAGCGGGCGGGCGCAGACGCTCGTTCACAAATCACAATAAAATATGTATCAAAACGCCACACCGCGTCCGGGCCTCCGGGCCATATGATGGTACTTCGGTCGAACCGACTAGTCCTCGGCATCCATTCGCAATGGAGAATGAATCTTCCGAAAAAACGTGAGCAGAGGACCAAGCAGAGGCGAGCGGCGACAGGAATATTCATACGCTGCGAAAAGAAGCCTCGGAGCGACGCGGTACGTGCTCCACGCAGATACCTCTATGCCGGAGTTATAAACGATCGAATGATAGATTACGAGGCCCTATCAAAAGGGAAGAGAAAAACGCCAGAAAGCGAATTTAGAAATTCTGGAGCGTCGTCAACGTCGAATAATAATAATCGAATCGAGCAGCATTCGATTCGTTCTCGGATCTGCCCTTACGCTCTGTCAATGATTTCGTCTCCTCCCTTTCTTTCCGACCACTCGTACTTCACGTTTTTCCAACCGCGATAAGGCTCGATTCGGCTGCTCGGCAAAGGGTGCGGAAGTTCTCTAATCGCTGACGAAATTCTCGAGACTGCAGCCGGCGAGAGAATCTCCGACATTTCCGAGGAAACAAATCGCGCATCGGTCGAGAGACATTCCGACTCGACCTTCTGAAAGTCCGCCTGGAACGTTGTTCCTCGCTGTACGGATAAGCGCGCGGTGCGGTGCAGGGGACGAGAAAAAAGATGTCAACGCGCCGCTGAACAAGTTGTAAATAGTGCTTTTCTTTTTAACAGTCGACAATATTGAGCCGCGTTTCCCTCATCGCTATCGCATTCGAGCCTCGTGAAACAAATGGTCTCCGGAAAGGGAGCTCGCCGATCCCAGATCCGACCATAAATCTCTGAGCAATCATCCTGAGCTTCTTCGGGATGGAATTACCAGAGAAGAAAATCGAATTTTCCACGTGAAATTTACAACAGCTTTTCCGCGAAATTAAACGCCGGGTTCAGCTCGACGCGGCCATACTATCGAAGCTGCATCAGAGCCGCTGTCAATTATTTCGGCTCGTTGGTCTCGAAACGCTCGATCCTGATTTGAGATTGCCGTTCATCCTCCCTGCTCGAATCTACCCTGCGGTCGCGTCGCTTTAACGACAGCCCTACTCGATGATTGAGGAGTTCCAAAAGCAAACTCACCGGTCGCGACTGAAGCCAGCGTGGTAGGAGCAGTGTTACCTGCGGCTCCTTCGGGCATCACGAGCGCCATCCGCGGTGCATCGCCTTCCGATGTTTGCAATAACGTCACCTGAGCCCCGCCGACCACCGAAGAATCCTCACTGAGGATGACCAGAATTTCACCGTGACTATTTCCTCTTGCTGCCTCCGCTGACTGCTCGTTCGGCGGCAGACTCTGGAAATGTAGATCGACGTTCGCCGGGTCGATCGAGGGGCTGTGCTCGGCGGCAACCCGAGAGTCAGCTGTGATTCCACTCGAACTCGAGGAGTCCGGATCCTCGACGGCAGCAGTTGAGGGCGAGCGGCTGAAATCAATGGGAAAAGAATCCGACGTTAGAAAAGAGCATATCGCACTTTTTTTCAGTGGGAAAGATCCTCAGGTTCATCTAGTGCGACACGGAAGCCAAACACGAGATCAGCACCGCGGTCGTGCATGGTTAGCCGGCAGGAAGCGTCGCGCGCCGGTCTCCTCGGTGGAAACCAGGTTTCCGGTTGGCTGGAGCAGCGGGTCTCCGAATTCCCGAGGAGCCAGTTTCTGCGACGAGTTCGCGCAGCCGGGAGCTGTTCATCCGATTCGATCATGCGCCTTTCTCTTTCGGGGCTGCACGATCAAGGGCAATTTTTGGGAGCAGATATCCGAGGTCTCGTGTGAGCGGACCGCGGAGCAACATCCATCATTCGAGTAGGCCCATCTAAAAATCGAACTCTTTCGAACAAGTCCTCCGAACAGTTTCGATGACCGAGAGAGTTTCACTCGATGATGATGATGATGCCAACGACGAGCTACAGCTAAAGTGGAAGTCCTGTAGTTGTCGATTAGGTTTTTATTGGCATTCATGATCAATGAGCAGCGCGTATATGACCGAAAGGATTCAGCCACAGGCTTCCCAAGTGCGCGAAAGCTTTAGGCTGAACATGAGAGGGACGCTGAAAAGTCGCTGAGCCCTCTGGAGATTAGCATAATCTGCCTCTCGTGCGTTGTGCACTTCGCCTCGGTGTGTGTGTTTACAGCAACGTTCGCTCCGAGCGTCTTCGCCAGCAGCGCTAGAGTCGTCGGCTTCAGCACCAGCATTTCAGCCTTCGCCGCCGCTGACTCCAGAAACAGCGGAACACGCGTCAGCTCCAACAGAATCCCGAACTGCCAAAAGAGTTGTTCGAGACGGCGTATTTCGCCGTTGCCGCCGCGGTGCGAGAACTCATGCTGAGAGTTGCTCATGACTGGCTTTTTATCGATGAACGCCATCCAGCCTGTCCGTCCGTCCGTCACAAAACCATCCAGTCAGTCATTCCGTCAGTCAGTCAAAGCTGCACCGGGAAAACACGGCAGAAGATTTCGCATCTCCTCCGAACGTCCCATGGCATGAGAAAACAAACTATTTATAATTGTGCATTTGCATAGATATACAACTACTGATAGCCGCAACGGTCGGATCCATAATTAACGACTATCAAGCGGATGGAACACATTATTCTTCCGAAGCATGGTACCTACGAAGGGATACGAATGGAAAATGAAGAATTCCGTTGACACATCGTGGACGGCCAGACTGATGACCGTTGCTTTCAATAAGTATCTAAGAGATTGAAGTCTGAGAGAATGCGAGGTGCTCCTATTTCGAACAGAAAACGCCGGTGCGTTTTTAGGTGTTCGTACTTCACGCTGCTCAATATGAAGTCGATTATTCTTCTGATGGCCGTGTTAATGATAGTGATCGTCAATGTCATCATCGACATCAGCTCGATAGCAATGCGAGTGACGCTGTCACTATTTGAAGTGACGATTTCATATCGTTAATCCATCATCAATCATTCTGAGAACCCTCAGACTCCGCAGAGGCATCCCTCGGTGGCTTTCGCCCCATCCTCTAGAGTTACATCCAGCCAAGCAGCCAGCTGAATCCAAGCGCTATACTGTGGCAACCATCAACAACAACAAGTGCAGCCAGCGACCATCATCAGTAACAACATCCGAGCGAGATTCCTGGCTCAAAAATCGCACTCAAAATGCTCGACCCATAGCTGTCGTCCGTCCGTCCATCCATCCATCTATCTGTGCCAGTATCCACCCGTCCCCCCCAGCCGCTCACTAAAGGAGCTCTGGGAGACCAATGGCTAAATCGGACAAGTCTAACCTGGGTTGGGTCGAACGGAGTAGCGCAGCGAAGCTCATAGGTCTCATTTTTGTCGTCTCAGTCGACGGAGTGCAACGATTTTTTCGACAAAAATCCACCGAGCGAAGCCACAGTTTGGGGAATAGGGGTGGTCGGTCGGTGTGTCCGAGGCCAGTGTTTCGCAGCAGATCAGTCGACCGGCCAAACATTTCGGTGGGCAGGGAGACAGGTAGAGTTTACAGCTCGTGGACCAGAAGATTAGTTAGATGGATGCAATGTTCAGCTACTGCAGGTGCTTCGTCAAGTCACCATGAATAAGGTCCTGCATTCTTTTGTCCAGCTGCTGATGATCCTGAGCATGATTACCGAGCAACTACTGTATCCCGATTCTCCCTCTCGAAGCATGCGAAAATATCGCGCAGTACTCCAGCTCTAGTGCTCCCGGGTGGCGACATTCAATTGGAGGAGATCTCCATTCTCGATACTTTATCGAACTCGAGCGCCTTCTGAACTATCCCGGAGATCTCATTGAGTTCGCACTCCTCCTCTCGATCAGGACGATCCGCTCACGCAAGCATTCGGCTTCCACCGTGTCGGCAAACTCGTCTTTGTTCAAATGTAAGCGCTAAAAATGTTTTCGGGTCTCTCCTGAGAGCATCACAACTAACGTCCATCAGCTGTTTGAGAGCAGATCTTGTCCTATTCTCAATTAACAATCTCCGACATTCTATAGAGGCCTCTCGGACCTTTGTCTGCGCATCTTTGCTTTAACGAACGGCTAAGCGCCTCGAATTTTTCCCTCCGATTCTAACACGACGAGCACACTCCCGACGATGGTCTCACTCTCTCTGGGTTTTCTCACGGTGTTGTTTCTTGAGAACTGTGCGACTCGGCCCGAGCTATTTTTCTTGCTCAAACTGAGCGCGAGTATTTGAGCCTGTCAGTACTGCTTTGCAGCGGACAAAGGGTTAAAAAAAACGGGCGAAAATTTTACGAAGCGGAGGAGCTGTAGACGCGTCCTGAGACTTTTGCCCATGTACCTCTAAGAGTCATGCCCGACAGCGGATGGACTTCATTTCGAGCCTTTTTGCGAATTTGAGCAGACTCCGAATTTCCGCCCAATCTATCATGTATTATTGGGTTCGCATCCTCCGCTCGATGTTGAGACAGCTCCACGGTTTTGCTGTTGGAGAATCGAATCTTCTGGAAGCTTTCATTCTCGGCAAATGAGCGCTAAGTGACCGGTGTCTAAGTCATAAATCTACAGTGAAGTCGGACGACTATTTTTCGGAAGAACTTTGGGATCTGCTGTCGAGAATGTAATCTTCGCTCGGTTCCGTTTTCTCTGCGAGCGATCGTGGGCGGTGGTCAACGAAGATTCTACCGACCGGCGCCAGTGATCCCCGATTCGATGATGGATACGCCTTCAGAGTTTGTGGAATCAATTTATTAAAATTGCCAAGATGACCGAGCGACGATGGAGGATAGATTTCCCCTCTTCGTCCACGAAATTCATCTCTTCCCCGGTCAAAGCCGGGCGAACTTGGAGGAACTCCTCGTGCCGAAAAATCCCTCCGAAACCGAGAGAGTTTCTTCCAATGACGCAGGCGATAAACATCACGAACTGATTCAATAGGCTTGATTTTAGTGGAAATTTCTACCATTCGATCGAAAATCAAAACACGAATTGAGTAACCCATTTCACACGTAGAGATTAATGATGGGGCATCTCGCTCTGAAGCGAGAGGGATTGAGAGAAAAAATCCACATACAAACAACAGGTGGGACGCGCTGGGAAATTCGGCTCTCTGGGTATATTGAGCAGAGCAGCACCGAGAAGCGCACACCAGACGAGAGGTCGTCCACCTTTCGAGCGGAACCGGGAAGACCATGTCTTAATGAGTGTTACGATGATTAATTGTTGTTTAGTAAGACAAAATGAGCGGCCGAGAGAAAGCAAGACTACTTGTTCATGTTCGAAACTCGAAATCGATCTCCGCAAGTCTGGTCGGACACTGTCCATCGACATCGGACATTGCGAATCGTCGTAGCCCCTGTCTCCTGACGGGGGACTCTTCAAAATTCAAAAGTTTTCCGGCAGCGTTTCCAATCGATGGCAGACTCGGCCTGTGACTTCTGTGCATGAGCACAGACCAGATCCCGGATATTACGAGACAAGGGCCCAACAGGCGGTCTGTCAACTTCAGCAGGACGTATCAGTGAGCAACCGAACACGACCACCACAATGATCTGGAGCGGCTGGACGAGACGAAGGCTCGTGTAGACGGAACTGGTTCGGACGACGGATCCCATCGATTGTCCCACGAGATTCAGAAATCAGAGCATGAGGGGATAAAGAACCTCTACCGCCCGCATTCCATTCCTTGGGAAACCTGGATCCGATCCTCGGTATTTGAAAAGCTCCCTGAACGGACGATGAATCGTTTCGCATTCGTAAGCGTGGCACGAGCACGGGATGAACTTCGAGCGGGAGAGTGACGCTGACGAAGAGGAACTCACATTACGCCGGAGGGAACGAATAATGAGAAAAATCGTTACCATTAAAATACAGCTCTCAACTGCGACCCAGGCTGAGGCAATACCCCTCGGAAACTTAGGTGATAGTGTCGGTGATCTTGAGCGACTGTCATGACTGATAAATCCAATAAGTAAGCGAAAACGACTGGACGATACTGTTGTGGAAGTAGAAAATCTCATGTGCAGCCTTTAAGACAACATCACCCTAGCAGCTAAGCTCAACCTTTCAGTCCAAGTATATTACGTGGGTTGTGGCTCTTCCAGTCTCAAAATCAACTAGACGCCATATTCACAGACGAGAGAAACGCTCTGACGATCGGAGGAACTAGGAAAGAATTAAGTCGACAAGGAGAACGCCGAAAGCATCGCTCCGTCTATCCGC